CATATGACATTCTCCCAATCCTCTTCTGGATCATTCAAATGCACTCTAGCAAACTTCAGACGGGCCTGGACATGTACTGGCTTAAGCAGGGGGACACGTCTTCACTGCAGGATTTGAGTCCCTGGCGGCGTAGTGTGTTACTGATGGTAGGCTTTATTACTTTGGTACCAGCTCTCTGCAGGTCATTCACTAAGTCCCCCCGTGTGGTTCTGGGATATTTGCTCACTGTTCTTGTGATCATTTTGACCCCACGGGGTGAGATCTTGCGTGGAGCCCCAGATCGAGGGAGATTATCAGTGGTCTTGTATGTCTTCCATTTCCTAATAATTGCTCCCACAGTTGATTTATTCAAACCAAGCTGCTTACCTATTGCAGATTCAGTCTTCCCAGCCTGGTGCAGGTCTACAATTTTGTTTCTGGTGTCCTTTGACAGCTCTTTGGTCTTGGCCATAGTGGAGTTTGGAGTGTGACTGTTTGAGGTTGTGGACAGGTGTCTTTTATACTGATAACAAGTTCAAACAGGTGCCATTAATACAGGGAACGAGTGGAGGACAGAGGAGCCTCTTAAAGAAGAAGTTACAGGTCTTTGAGAGCCAGAAATCTTGCTTGTTTGTTGGTGACCAAATACTTATTTTCCACCATAATTTGCAAATAAATTCATTAAAAATCCTACAATGTGATTTTCTGGATTTTATTTTCTCAATTTCTCTGTCATAGTTGACGTGTACCTATGATGAAAATTACAGGCCTCTCTCATCTTTTTAAGTGGGAGAACTTGCACAATTGGTCGCTGACTAAATACTTTTTTTCCCCACTGTATAACTGCCTTCATTTTGCCGGACCCCAGCTAATGGGGATCCGTAATAAATACAAATACAAACAGTTCACTCTGTGTTCTGGCCTGCCTCTTCTCGGGTAGAGCACAGAGGGGGAGAGGCACATCTGTGCTCCTAAAACCCTTCCCTTTGTGCAGCAACTGTTGAATGTTTTTTCTCTCAAGGAAGACGTAGGGAATCCACTCTACCCCAGAGTGCCTTCCATGCCACGGCTCTCCCCTTGGCTCTAGTTCAAGCAGCCGGGACAGGAAAACTAATTGTCAGTAACCACCAAGCACTGTCCCCATGTTCCAGTGTGTCAACACTGGCCTTTTCAATTCAAAAAGTTTCTGATGTATCCAGGCATCATGCCAAGGACACGAAAATGACTCTACATCGCCACCAGAGGGAATGCTGGACTGGCACCACTGGTGAGCGAGAGTCTATTGACCTGTGGGGGACTCGCCAGCAGAGCAGGGAACTGGCGCCCATGAGCAGTCCAGCCCTGGATCCGGTCCACAGTGACGAAGGGGTACAGACTGCAGTTTGCTCTGAGACCACCCATTTCCAATGGAATTTTGGAATCAGTAGCGACTGGTGACTTTGCACGCATACTAGAGCAGGAAGTCTTCTCTCTATTAAGCAAATGGGCTGTCAAGGCGATACCAGCGGCAGAGAGCCACCTCAGTTTTTACGCCGGGTCCTTCCTGGTTCCTGAAAAAGGAGGGGTTTGCCACATTTTAGACTTAGTGTCCTCAACAGCTATCTGACGAAGTTCATGTTCCGTATGCTTATGTTAAATTTTACATTTTAGTCATTTAGCAGACGCTCTTATCCAGAGCGACTTACAGTTAGTGAGTGCATACATTTTTTTCATGAGCTGTCTCATCAAGGCGACTGGTTCACCTCAGTCGACCTGCAGGATGCTTATTTTCACGTACAGTAAGAATCCTGCCTGCACAGAACAGACAATATGACTGTACTGTCGTATATCAACCGCCAGGGTGGCACTCGCTCCATGTGCTTACACAGAATATTCGTCTGGATTATTCTGTGGAGCAGAGCACACCTACTGTCCCTACGCACGACTCATGTCCCGGGCGTACTGAATGTAGAAGCGGACTTATTGTCCAGAGGGAATCCCCATCTAAGGGAGACTCTTTCCCCAAGTGGTGACAGATCTGGGCAAGATACGGTCAAGCGTCCATGGATCTCTTTGTGTTGCAAGAACACACGCCCTGCAGGAGACACAGTGGGTGTTGCTTTACACTTTTCCTCCCCTCAGCCTCATACTCCCCACTCTGGCCAGAGTGAGGGAAGAAGGATTATCCCTCATCTTGGTAGCCCCGCGATGGCAAGGCAAGCTCTGGATAGCAGAGATCACTCTCCTGCTATACAACAAGCCTTGTCAACTCTTGTTACGCAGGGACCTGCTGACCCAAGCGAACAGAAGATTTTTCACCCTCACTCAGAAGCCATGGCCCTCTGGGCCTGGTCCATGAGAAGTTAAATCTGGATGCGGCAGTCTTGCCTCGTCATTGAGAAGATCCAGAGTGCTAGGGCCCCTTCTACATGCCCACTGTATGGAAATAAGTGGTTGGTTTTTGAGAAGTGGTGTGACCAAAAACAGATAATTCCTTACCAATGCTCTGTATCCAAGGTTTTATGCTTCTTGCAGGACCTTTTGGACAGAGGGAAGGCTTTCACCACTGTTAAGGTCTATCTAGACACTATCTCGGCCTGTCATATAGGCTTCCACAAAAACACGGTAGGAAAACATCCCCTGTCATGTTGTTTCATGAAGGGAGCCTGTTGCTTACGTCCTGTTCCCAAGCCTCGTCATGGAATTTGTCTATTGTGCTTGAGGCTGTTTCACAGCAGCCTTTTGAGCCGCTGGAAAGCGTGGAGATTAAATATCTTCCCTTTAAGACCGCTTTACTGGTTGCCCTTATGTCCGCAAAAGCGAGTGAGTGAGCTACATGAACTGTTAGTTTACAATTCGTTCCTGCAGTTTGCCCGGGGCTTTTCCAGGGTCACCTTGTTGCCCAAACCCGCTTTTATGCCCAAGGTTGGCAACAATTACAATTGTTTCGCCTTGGAGCTTGTGCCTTTCCACCCTCCTTTTTATGGAAGAGGAGCGGCTACACTGTTTCTGTCCAGTATGCGTGTTGCGCATATACTTGGATAGGACGAGAGCTTAGCGCAAGAGCGACCAACTCTTTGTGTCTTGGGCGCCTCCCTGCATGGTGAGGCCCCTCTCATCAACGGTTGTCTCATTGGATTGTGGGTGCTATTATATTGGCCTATAATAGCAAGGGGTTACAGCCTCTGGAGGGCCTAATGGCTCACACCACCAGAGGTATGGTCACCTCTTGGGCACTGTTCAAGGGAATCTCCTTGCAGGAGATTTGCGATGTGGCTTGTTGGGCATCCCCTCATACTTTTGAGGTTCTACCGACTAGACGTCACTGCGCCTTCATTAGCGCATACTGTCCACGGTGTCGGGGCCTCTGAGGGTTGATGTTGAGACTGCCTGGCTTCAGAGAGCATGTGCGATACAGAAGCTGGACATATCCCACAGTGAGATGTCGACTCAAATAATTTAGAGAGCTTAAGGTTACTTGTGTAACCCCAGTTCTCTAATATTATGAGTGTGACATCTCACCACATTCCCCTACTCGCAAGCGTGTGAGGAAGTTTGTCACGTTCGAGAGTGATCAGAGGGCAGCGGAGTGACTCTTTATTATGAGGGAAGGGGCTCACTCAATCGCCACGCTACCTGTCTGTGTACAACTTATTCTGGAGTAGTTAGATGTCTCACCCATATTATCAGAAAACTGGGGTTAAGCAAGTAACCTTAAGTTTCTCAGTCCAGTGTTTTTATGACCATTGTTTCATTCCACTATGATACACAACATTACTAACATTATCTCAATCTACTCAGTCCGTAATGCTTTATTCATTTTTCTCATTTTCTCTGCAGCGCATTCACATCCTCCTCCAGCCCTCTAACGACCTACCCAAAACCAAGAGAGAACAGGAGAGGATGCTGGCCACCTTCGCCCCCAAGGGCGAGGGAGGCATGGAGCCAGTAGGGGTACCAAACAAAGATGGCTACCTCCCAGTGGGGGTGAAGGACTCAAACTGCTAAGAAGACCCCAGTGACAGTTGGAGTGACTCTTTCAGTCAATTAAGTCATTTTGGGAAATTAACTGAAATTCCAATTAAAGAGAAAGTGCATCAGGCAGCCAGATAAGCAATGAGAGAGAGGAACAATCGTGCACTCTTGCATCCCATAAGCTCTCTTTTACGGAACCAATGGGCTTTCAGGTAGAAAACAAGACGACTGTGTTCAATTACAAAAGCTTATTTCTCATTGTTCAATGGACACTGATCTACACGTGTATAATATTGTCTGTCTATGGTAGATTGTTGTTAGGCCTACTGTATTGTATTCCATATTGTATTAAAGGAATCATCCCACTGGGCACAGATGTCAATTCAACGTCTTCCATGTTGGTTCAACGTTATTTCATTGAAGTTACGTGGAAACAACATGGAAGACGTTGAATTGACATCTGTGCCCAGTGGGATGGTAAAGAAAAAGAAGCTGTACATTACAAATGAGATGAATAACCGTTGACATTGTTAGAATGTGGATCATTGTTAAACGAGAATGTATTGTATCACCTTTGTTAATTTAACAAGAGCTAACAACCGTTGAACTAATAGAAAATGTGTACAATATTTTAATGATTTGATTTTTTGTGTAACATGACTACAAAAGACTGTACAAAATAAATATAAATGTATGTTTTGAAATAAACAATGTGGCATATATTATATCAGTGTATTGTATGCTATTATTATGATCCTTATGAGATCACTCTTCACTAGGGAAGGCTTTACAATCACTTCACAGTATTGTTCTAGTCTATTCAAGTATTTTCCTGTCTAGTCCTTGGACCAAGTTCTGCTCTATGTATATTGTCAGATCTTTTATATATCAGAGCAAGAATGATCTAGCAATATTCAGGGTCATGCTGTGAACCACTAGAAGCCGCGCTTTTCCCGCTGGCTACTAGGCACATTTCCAGTTCGGGTTGATGATTGGCTAGAAAGGGCAGTCTTTGCGTGCGTGAGTGACGCTCTTCTATCCCACCATGCAGCGGGTGATGTCCAAGGAAAGATGGCGGAAGGAGGAGCGGCAGATCTGGATACCCAGAGAGGAGAAGTCGCAGCACTGCTGAAAACACAGCTACGAAAGGGAGATACTTGGTAAGAGTTTGCCGATAACTTTTTAAAGGTCTTAGGAGGGTGTTGGCTGACTCTGTCGGGGCGGTCAAAGTGCTAAACCAGCGGAGAGCGGGTGTGACAGGCCGTGTTGACAGTTACCCTGCCAGTTAACGTGAGCAAGTCAGTCAGCTTCTGCCAGCTAAAGCTAGCCAGCGGGTTCGCTACATTCCACAGTTTTTAGTGACCAAGTTATTTGCCAACATGGTATTGTCTAGATACATAGTTATGTTACCAACGTAGCTAGTAAAGTACATGTATTTTCCCAATTATTTCAGTTTCATGATCTTGCGATTCCAAGCTGGCTAACTTGATTTCAAGTGGTTTGCCCGTGACGTGAGCTCATCTGGCAAATCAGGGTCGTGAAAAGCACCTGTCAAAATTGCTTAACTTGCGAACTCGCTAACACACTCACAAATGTGCCAGTATCAAACAGTTAGCTGCTGACAATTGATGTTTAGTGACAATCAAGTGTCCCAACTAGCTAACTTTTGGCAAGCTCCCACTGTTAGCAAGCATCTGTTTTATGATAATTGTAACATTCCTTACATTGTTTAACGTTACTCTATCAAATTAATGTTATTTTTTAACTAATCATAACAGATCAGCTGCTGGTCATTCTGAAATAAACCATTTGTCTCGAGTTCTTGTCTCCTCTAATTAGCAAAGATGATCTGAATGAGAAACACAGTGGAGACTTATGTAACCTGAGGTCTTTCTCTCAGCCCTGCTGGTTAGTGGGTACCCTGCCTGTACTTTGGTGCTTCACACGTTTTGTTATTTTTTTTGTGTTATTTTTTTACTTATCAGATACCATCTGTTACCACAAATTAGATCTAGTCTAGCGTGATCTCAGATCTAAATAATCAGTGCTCTCTCTCGCTCTTTCTGCATAGGTACCTAGTGGACAGCCACTGGTTCAAACAGTGGAAGAAATATGTGGGCTTTGACAGCTGGGACAAATATCAGATGGGAGACCAGAATGTCTACCCTGGACCAGTGGACAACTCGGGGCTCCTTACAAGTGGTAAGATGCACCACAATCAGACCTCTTTGAAGCAATATTTATTGTCAATCTCTGGAGAGATTAGTGAAAATGGTGACTTCATAATGTGCTCTTTTACTCACTTCATAACATGCTCTTTTACTCATCCCCAGTGTGTCTGGATGAACCCACCACTGTTTTGCGCAGTACAGGATGTTTAGAGTGAACAACATGATGTATCTTACCTAATATATCAAACTAAAGGCAGTTATACTTGCAATTTCTATAGGCTAACTATGACAGAAAAAGTAGGTATATAATTGACTCTGTAAACATCAATGAAAATGGTCAAGGGTAGCTTACCTCCGTTCTATAGAAATCTCTCTGTTGCTTTGTGTGTTATTGTATGAGAAACTGCCATTATGAGTAGGCCACCACCAGAAACCTAGTGAATGACTCCATTATAACCCTACCCATACATAGTCCTGTAATGTTTCCCTTAAATAAACCCTCTTTCACCACTAAACCTGGGTCATATTCATTATGACAAACAAACAAGCAAAAATGAATGTTTGTTATTGGCCAGGTTCAGGTAGTCCTTCCGTGTCAGTCCATTTTCTTCTGTTTGTTGCCTAATGAACATGACCCTGTTCTCTCTCTCGCTCTCTGTTGTGAGTAGATGGGGATGTTCTGGCCATCAAGGAGCACCTCATTGATGAGCTGGACTACATCCTGGTCCCAACAGAAGGCTGGAATAAGCTAGTGAGCTGGTATGCACTGATGGAGGGACAAGAGCCTGTCTCACGCAAGGTAAGGATGGGTGACATTATTAGTGGCTAATTATGGCTGGTGTGGTCCAATATCTTGTTGTTTTTAAATGGTCAAATAAAATAATGTTCAGCTACTGTATGGGTATAAGAGCTGGTTGTGTACAGTGCACATAGCGTCAGTGCTACAGAGGTCATCAGATGAAAGAGAAGCTCAGTCAAAGCTCAGGTACTTTATGTGAAGTGGTGAATAGTATGAGATAAGATCATATCAGTACACAATTACATGTCAATGGTTGCCGTTAAGCCTGTTTGTTGATAGCCTACTCGTAGCTGAAGAGCTTATTGTGGTGTGAGAGGAGTAATTGAGAAGTTTCACTGTGTCAAAATCTTGGATGTGTTCTATAGGGTTGGATTGATCAATACACTTCAACACAGGTCAGATTGGGATGATTGTGAAAAAGGATACCAGGATAACGTTGATTTCTATATCGATATTAAGGCCTACCCAGCTAGTAACTGAATCTCAAGCATAAGTTATCTCAATGTTTAGGCTATGCCTCTCTCACTATGTCTTCTTCAAGAGAAACACAGCTGGACTGGTCATGCGATTTGATACAATTTAGCTACCGGTATTCCAAATATGCTAGCTATTATTTGTAATACATGGACTGAAAGTAGCATGCTGTATAAGGACTTGATTAGTTTTTAAAATGTAAAGTGGACCGATCACAGATGCTTACTGATGCAATATTGTCCTCAGAAGATCAGATTTTATAAAGTGGAAGTAGACTACATTGATATTATGTAGTTGCTTTTTTATACAGTGTGCTTTGGGTTTAACTCTGACAACTGACTCCAGTATAAGCCAGTAACTCACAAAAGGATTGTGTTCCTGGAAACACCGGCAAAGGGGTTCTGCTAACGTAGGGCTATTTCTAACCGCTAACTGCCAGCCGGGCCTACTGTACTTCCGTGAGCCCAGACATAGCTTTCTGCATTTTCAAATCTAGCCAGTCATGGCATCATGGCTGCTGCACTGCTTTCTTTTTCTCCCCCCATCGATCCTCCCCTTTTTGCCATGTATGTTGTGGGGGGTATCGAGTGGCCCTGGCCGTTTCTATTTTCAGATAGTGGTCTGGATGACTGAAACACCGCTACATGGAGCGAGCTACGAGACACAACATGCAGGAGGTTTTCTTTTCTTTCTATTTCACTTTTGGGGGTTCTTGTACCGTGTTTTCAGACTGTGTTGGAATTGATTTTCTGGGTTCTCCTCTTGCGGTTCCACTCGGGTTCTCTACCTTGAGGCTATCACCCGGGGAGTGATTCTAGAGTGTCCTTGTTTTTTGAAGTGGAGGAATGCTGGCTGAGGTCAAACCGAGAGAGAGAGGCTTTTTAAGATAGAGGGAGAGATGGCCTAGCCTAAGCAGAAAGGGAGGGGGCGGGGTAGATCTGTTCTCGTTGGTTCTTAACATAGCTGTTAAAGAACTTTGTGACATTTCTGTTATGTCAGAGTTTGTTACTGTGAGAACTTGCAACTTGCCTTTTCTCTGCTTTGTGTTGAACACATGGCTGGGCATTAATTGTATAAGGATGGCAGTGGGTGGTGTCTGGTGGTGGGTGAATCTGACCCATGCCTACAGCTGATCTCATGGGCTGGGGAAGGTCTGTACCCTGTGGTGTGGGGCCAGCCACCAGCGGAGGGGCTGTGTGAAATGAATAGGAATGGACCCTTCAGCTGTCTCTACGCTCTGGGGCTATATTAAGAGTCTTTGTGACTCGCTCCTGTCAAGGGAGTTAGAAAGTGTAGCCTATAGTTTATACACTTAAAGTGCTTTCAGTGTATAGATAGCCCTATTAACTGTGTAGCCAAATTCTTAGCTTGTTGTTGATTTGTCCCAAATAATGTGCTTGATTATTCTAATGCCATATGCTGTGTTCTTTAGTTCTTGTTTTCTTGGTGGAATTTGTGAATGCTTCTCTGTTCACTGTTGAAGCGTTTTAGGAAGTTCATACTTGTGATCAATCAGCCATGCAAATCTTGCCCGTATTGGAACAATGTCATGATGAGTTTAATTAGCAATGCATATGCCATCATGTATGACAAACGCTTTGAACAAAATGTAATGAGTTTAATTGCTAAAATTGTAACAGAGTGATGCCTATTTTCTTCTCATGCCATCTGTCATGTAAGACAACTTTAACATTGTCAAGTGTTTAATTTGCAAAACAAACATTTGTTAATAATTTAGTTTATTTCCTCTTGTGCAATGTGCCATGATATAAGACACTCTTTATTGCCATATTTCTACAGGTGGTAGAACAGGGTATGTTTGTAAAGCACTGCAAGGTGGAGGTGTACCTCACAGAGCTGAAGCTGTGTGAAGACCGCAACATGGACAACGTGGTCACCAGACGCTTCAGCAAAGCAGACACGATAGGTAGGCAGACACTTTTCTTCTCCCTGACAGAATGAATGGAGCAGATTATATCTTTATTTTGAAGAAATTTGTCTCTTTTCCTCATGGGTAATTTCCACCTGTTTTCTACCTGCCATTATAATATAATAGTATGCCCTTCAGCCTGCGCTTTTATCTGTAGGGACTTATAGTCATGCGTGCACGTATGGGTAGGCCTAGTCCTGGGCGTCAAACCCATGCTCTACCAAGCACCATGCTCTACCAACTGAGCTATAGAGTACCATTGGTATAACCATTATATTCATTGTACAGTTAAACCTGACAAATGTAGCAACTGGCCTCTTCTCCCAGCCAGAGAATGAATGAATAAATCATTCCCATCCATTAACCACCAGTCATAGTGATTGTACAGGAGAACCTCTCTTCTACCTGACACAGAATGAATTACTAATATATTTGTTTTGAAATGCACAGAAGCTCTCCTTTTTCCTCTTTGTGGATCAATTCCACTCATTTTCTACCTGACATTAGGATTGTGTATTTATAACCTGACATGTTCTGTAGTTCTTAATTTGACTTGTTGATTATATAGTGCATCATTGCTCTTAGTTATTTCACTGATAATACTAACATCTTTTGTTCAGTTTATGCAAATTGAATGCATTGCCGAGCCTTTTAATGGTCAATTTAAACAGTGAAATCACAGGGGAAGGTCATTGATAACTCTCAAAGTGTTTGTCAACCTCTTATGTAAACTGAATTTGCTTTTGGCTACAGCAAAATGATGTGCTCCCACAAGAACTGCCAAAACTCTGCTCCCTAAAGCACACACAAGTAATCAACAATTACATGGGCAGGGAGTGTGTTACTATAAAGTCATTCATTAATCTGCTGCATTCTTAGACCACTGCGGCCTCCCGAGATCCTGGTTCGAATCCAGGCTCTGCTGTAGCCGGCCGCAACCGGGAGACCAATGGGGCGGCGCACAATTGGCCCAGCGTCGTCCAGGGTAGGGGAGGGAATGGCAGGCAGGGAGGTAGCTCAGTTGATAGAGCATGGCGTTTGCAACGCCAGGGTTGTGGGTTCGATTCCCACGGGGGGCCAGTATGAAAATAATAATGTATGCACTAACTGTAAGTCGCTCTGGATAAGAGCGTCTGCTAAATGACGTAAATGTAACGTAAATGTAATGTAAATGCTGCCAATTTATCAGAGCATGAGAGATTTATACACTCAATTATTCTCTGCTCTAAGTATGCAGGTGCATGCGTGTAGTTTTGTCAGTTTGTCACCTACACTGAGTGTACAAAACATTAACAACACCTGCTCTTTCCATGACAGACTGACCAGGTGAATCCAGATGAAAGCAATGATCCTTTATTGATGTCAACTGTTAAATCCACTTCAATCAGTGTAGATGAAGGGGAGGAGACCGGTTAAAGAAGGATTTTTAAGCCTCGAGACAATTGAGACACGGATTGTGTATATGTACCATTTGAGGGTGAATGGGCAAGACAAAAGATTTAAGTGCCTTTGAACGGGGTATGGTAGTAGGTGCCAGGTGCACCGGTTTGTGTCAAATGCTGCTGGGTTTTTCATGCTCAACAGTTTCCTATGTGTATCAAGAATGGTCCACCACCCAAAGGACATCCAGCCAACATGACACAACTGTGGGAAGCATTGTAGGCAACATGGGCCAGCATCCCTGTAGAACACTTTCGACACCTTGTAGATTCCATGCGTCGACAAATTGAAGCTGTTCTGAGGGCAAAAAGGTGGTGCAGCTCAATATTATGGTGTTCCTAATGTTTTGTACAGTCAATGTATGTGGCATGTTGCTTATTTGTTATCTTTGTCCTATAACCTCCTGTGATGCAGACACCATTGAGAAGGAGATGCGTAAACTGTTCAGCATCCCAGACGAGAAAGAGACCAGGTTGTGGAACAAGTACATGAGTAACACGTTCGAGCCTCTGAACAAACCGGACAACACTATACAGGACGCAGGACTCTACCAAGGACAGGTATAAAATAACCCTCGGATACCAGGCTATTTATACATTAATGTTTCTACTTCCTGTCCTGTCATTGCACCAGTTATATAGGGCCTAGATTATTCCAGACCATGCAAACTGACAAGGAAACTCTCTATTCTCTTGTTACTAGGAATGGCGCCGGAGGGTATGGCTGCTGTTTTACGGGCTCCGAACCAATTGTGCTATTTTGTGTTTTTTCATATTGTTTGTCACTTATTTTGTACATAATGTTGATGCTACCGTCTCTTATGACCGAAAAGAGCTTCTGGATGTCAGAACAGTGATTACTCACCTCGAACTGGACAAAGATGTTTTCTTTAATGAGTCTGACACAAAGGATATAATGTTGCTCCCAGACAAGGCCCAAATCCCTGTCATTCACATTAAGAAAATAAGGAAATACAGGGGGCGGAGATTAGGGTGCATTGTGAGAATTCGTCGACGAGTGGGTAACCCGCCTCTGCACGTTGGCTAATAGAACGGATGGTAATCACTGGAGAATAAACTGGATGAGCTCCATTCGAGACTATCCTACCAACGGGACATTAAAAACTGTAATATCTTATGTTTCATGACTCATACAGTTAGCTGGATTTTCCGTGCATCGGCAGGACAGAACAGCTACGTCTGGTAAGACGAGGGGTGGGGGTGTGTGTCTATTTGTCAATAACAGCTGGTGCATGATGTCTAATATTAAGGTAGTCTCGAGGTATTGCTCGCCTGAGGTAGAGTACCTCATGATAAGCTGTAGACCACACTATCTATCAAGAGTTTTCATCTATATTTTTTGTAGCCGTCTATTTACCACCACAAACAGACGCTGGTACTAAGACTGCACTCAACGAGCTGTATAAGGCCATAAGCAAACAAGAAAATGCTCATCCAGAAGCGGCACTCCTAGTGGCCGGGGACTTTAAAGCAGGCAAACTTAAATCTGTTTGACCTACTTTCTACCAGAATGTCACGTGCAACCAGAGGAAAAAAAACTCTAGACCACCTTTACTCCACACACGGAGATGCGTACAAAGCTCTCCCTCGCCCTCCATTTGGCAAATCTGACCATAATTATATCCTCCTGATTCCTGCTTACAAGGAAAAACTAAAGCAGGAAGTACCAGTGACTCGCTCAATACGGAAGTGGTCAGATGACGCGGATGCTACGCTACAGGACAGTTTTTCTAGCACAGACTGGAATATGTTCCGGGATTCATCCAATGGCGTTGAGGAGTATACCACCTCAGTCACTGGCTTCATCAATAAATGCATCGATGACATCGACCCCACAGTGACCGTGCATACATATCCCTCAGACGAACCATCAAACAGGCAAAGCTTCAATACAGGACTAAGATTGACTCCTACTACACCGGCTCGTGGGATGTGGCAGGACTTGCAAACTATTACGGACTACAAAAGGAAAATCAGCCGCGAGCAGTCCAGTGACACGAGCCTACCAGATGGGCTAAATGCCTTCGAGGCAAGCAACACTGAAGCATTCATGAGAGCACCAGCTGTTCCGGACAACTGTGTGACCACGCTCTCCATAGCCGATGTGAGCAAGACCTTTAAACAGGTCAACATTCAGACGGATTATCAGGACGTGTACTCGGAGCATGCGCGGACCAACTGGCAAGTGTCTTCACTGACATTTTCAAGCTCTCCCTGACCGAGTCTGTAATACTTACCTACATGTTTTAAGCAGACCACCATAGTCCCTGTGCCCAAGAAAGGGAAGGTAACCTGCCTAAATGACTACCGCCCCGTAGCACTCACATCCGTAGCCATGAAGTGCTTTGAAAGACTGGTCATGGCACACATCAACACCATTATCCCGGAAACCCTAGACCCACTCCAATTTGCATACATCCCCAACAGATCCAGAGATAATGCAATATCAATCGCACTCCACACAGCCCTTTCCCACTTGGACAAAAGGAACACCTATGTGAGAATGCTGTTCATTGACTACTGTTCAGCGTTGAACACCATAGTGCCCACAAAGCTCATCTCTAAGCTAAGGACCCTGGGACTAAACACCTCCCTCTGCAACTGGATCCTGGACATCTTGACAGGCTGCACCCAGTTGGTAAGGGTAGGCAACAACACATCTGCCACGCTGATCCTCAACACGGGGGCCCTTCAGAGGTCCGTGCTTAGTCCCCTCCAGTACTCCCTGTTCACCCACGACTGTGTGGCCAAGCACGACTCCAACACCATCGTTAAGTTTGCTGAAGACACAACGGTGCTAGGCCTGATCACCGACAACGATGAGACAGCCTATAGGGAGGAGGTCAGAGACCTGGCAGGAGGGCCGAAAATGCCCCCGTTCACATCAACGGGGCTGTAGTGGAGTGGGTAGATAGTTTCAAGTTCCTTTGTCCACATCACCAACAAACTAATCATGGTCCAAACACACCAAGAAAGTCGTGAAGAGGGCACAACAAATCCTTTCCCCCCTCAGGAGACTGAATAGATTTGGCATTGGTCCCCATATCATCAAAAAGTTATACAGCTACACCCTCGAAAGCATCCTGACCAGTTGCATCACCCCCTGGTATGGCAACTGCTCAGCATCCGACCGTAAGACGCTACAGAGGGTAGTGTGTACAGCCCAGTACATCACTTTGGCTAAGCTTCCTGCCATCCAGGACCTACACTACCGTTCAAAAGTTTGGGGTCACTTAGACATTTCCTTGTTTTCCATGAAAACATACATGAAATTAGTTTGAATAGGAAATATAGCAAAATGAATAGGGAATGTAGTCATTGACAAGGTTAGAAATAATGATTTTTAATTGAAATAATAATTGTGTCCTTCAAACTTTGCTTTCATCAAATAATCCTCCATTTGCAGCAATTACAGCCTTGCAGACCTTTTGGCATTCTAGTTGTCAATTTGTTGGGGTAATCTGAAGAGATTTCACCCCATGCTTCCTGAAGCACCTCCCACAAGTTGGATTGGCTTGATGTCCACTTCTTACGTACCATACGGTCAAGCTGCTCCCACAACAGCTCAATATGGTTGAGATCCGGTGACTGTGCTGGCCACTCCATTATAGACAGAATACCAGCTGACTGCTTCTTCCCTAAATATTTCTTGCATAGATTGGAGCTGTGCTTTGGGTCATTGTCCTGTTGTAGGAGGAAATTGGCTCCAATCAAGCGCCATCCACAGGGTATGGCATGGCATTGCAAAATGGAGTGATAGCCTTCCTTCTTCAAGATCCCTTTTACCCTGTACAAATCTCCCACTTTACCACGACCAAAGCACCCCCAGACCATCACATTGCCCCCACCATGACAGATGGCATCAAGCACTCCTCCAGCGTCATTTAATTTAGTCTGCGTCTCACAAATGTTCTTCTTTGTGATCCGAACACCTCAAACTTCGATTTGTCTGTCCATAACACTTTTTTCCAATCTTCCTCTGTCCAGTGTCTGTGTTCTTTAGCCCATCTTAATATTTTCTTTTTATTGGCCAGTCTGAGATATGGCTTTTTCTTTGCAACTCTGCCTAGAAGGTCAGCATCCCGGAGTCGCCTCTTCACTGTTGACGTTGAGACTGGTGTTTTGCGGGTACTATTTAATGAAACTGCCAGTTGAGGACCTGTGAGGCATCTGTTTCTCAAACTAGACACTAATGTATTTGTCCTCTTCCTCAGTTGTGCACCGGGGCCTCCCACTCCTCTTTCTATTCTGATTAGAGCCAGTTTGCGCTGTTCTGTGAAGGGAGTAGTACACAGTGTTGTACGAGATCTTCAGTTTCTTGGCAATTTCTCACATGGAATAGCCTTCATTTCTCAGAACAAGAATAGACTGACGAGTTTCAGAAGAAAGTTATTTGTTTCTAGCCATTTTTAGCCTGTAGTCGAACCCACAATTGCTGATGCTCCAGATACTCAACTAGTCTCAAGAAGGCCAGTTTTATTGCTTATTTAATCAGCACAACAGTTTTCAGCTGTGCTAACATAATTGCAAAAGGATTTTCTAATGATCAATTAGCCTTTTCAAATGATAAGTTTGTCTCTCCATTTCTCTCATGTCATGTGGTCCTCTCTAGCTCAGCTGGTAGAGCACGGCGCTTGTAACGCCAAGGTAGTGGGTTCGATCCCCGGGACCACCCATACACAAATGTATGCACGCATGACTGTAAGTCACTTTGGATAAAAGCATCTGCTAAATGGCATATTATTATTATTATTATTATTATTATTATTATTATTATTATTATTATAATCTTGGATTAGCAAACACAACCTGCCATTGGAACACAGGACTGATGGTTGCTGATAATGGGCCTCTGTACGCCGATGTAGATATTCCATAAAGAATCAGCCATTTCCAGCTACAATAGCCATTTACAACATTAACAATGACAACACTGTATTTCTGATCAATTTGATGTTATTTAATGGATGAAAAAATTGCTTTTCTTTAGAAAACAAGGACATTTCTAAGTGACCCCCAAACGTTTGAACGGTAGTGTATATACTAAAAGGAAGGCCCTAAAATTGTCAAATACTCCAGTCACCCAAGTCATAGAATGTTCTCTCTGCTACCACATGGCAAGCGGTACCGGAGTTCCAAGTCTAGGTCCAAAAGGCTCCTAAAAAGCTTCTACCCCCAAGCCATAAGACTGCTAAACAAATTATCAAATGGCCACCCACTGCTGCTACTTGCTGTTTATCTATGCATAGTCACTTTCCCCCTACCTACATGTACAAATTACCTCGACTTAGTAAATGTTTTCTTAAAACTGCGTTGTTGGTTAATGGCTTCTAAGTAAGCATTTCACGGTAAGGTCTACACATGTTGTATTCGGCGCATGCGACAAAAAAAAAAAAAAAAAAAGGATTAGTCTATAAGTAGGTTCTGGAGTTTTTCCTGGTCAGGTGAGGTCACATGCTTGGGGAAAAGTCAAGGACCGTAATAATAGTGTACGTCAGTGGTCAGATGTAAATCCTAGTATTAATTGTCACAGGTTTGTCCATTAACCAGCTCAAATTTCAGCTTTATGGTTTTGTACATATACTGAACAAAAAATAAACGCAACATGCAACAATTTCAAAGATTTTACTGAGTTACAGTTCATATGAGGAAATCAGTTAATTTAAATTAATTAATTAGGCCCTAATCTATGGATTTCATATGACTGGGAATACAGATATGCATCTTTTGGTCACAAATAACTTAAAAGAAATGGACCTCACAATGGGCCTCAGGATCTCGTCACGGTATTTCTGTGCATTCAAATTGCCATCGATAAAATGCTATTGAGTTTGTTGTCCATAATGTATTTCTGCCCATACCATAACCCCACCGCCACCATGGAGTACTCTGTTCACAACGTTGACATCAGCAAATCGCTCGCCCACACAACGCCATACACGTGACGTGGTCTGCGGTTGGGAGACCGGTTGGACGTATTGTTATGTTTCCATATATTTATATGTGTATTATGTTTCTATTTCTGATATCCATACAGGTCCTGGTAATAGAGCAGAAGAATGAGGATGGATCGTGGCCTAGAGGTTCCTCTGCACCTAAGTGAGTGTGTCTGGCTGTGTCCTTGACCTTAGGTTATGGGAGTGAGGAGCTGGACTTCCAATTAGAAATGACTCCCACTTTGCCTGGGGATTGCAAGACATAGGTTCTTCTGAGGATGAGCTTTCTCTATACTGGTCTGTTCTGCTAAGTTTGTTTCATACATTCAATGTATACCTTTATATTCAACCCAGCAGACCCTTATGATTATTTTAGCTACTACTTTCCTACTGTCTTTCGTCTTTGAATTTCAACTCCATATCATATATTTGCCTCTATCCTATTTGCTTGGCTTTAGTTGCTGACATATCTCTTATCGTTTAACCTGGGGGTTTTCAAACTTTTCTTGCCCAGGGACCCCCGCCCAGGCAAACCGGTGACATAGGGACCTCCATAACACATTAGCAAAATAAAAAAGAATGTCTTGTCTCATCAGGTGAATGATAATGGCAGGTAGAAGTAATCAACATTTTAAAATGAATAGATTTGGTAAACAGTTTCATTATTTTGACCTCACCACAGTTCATTGGAAGAGGAAGGGTAAACTCCAACATATAGTCTATTAGCTAGAAAGGTATCTTGGCGGCGTAGAGAAAATGTTTCTGTTTCAAAGCACATTTTCTGCAATTCTAAAAATAAAATAAAATCCATTGAGCTGAGAGAATTTTGCAGTTTTGAATCAAATTTCCAGCAATTCTACATAGTTTGGCATGGAGCTGAGAGACAATTTTACTGTTTTTAAAGCACATTTCTTGCAATTCTATGCATTTTGCCATCCCTAAAATTACCATTTAGATGGCCCGCCTAAGAATTTTCTATACAGAACAAACCCTGTGATTAGCTCCATTTACTACAACTTCCTCCATTTTAAGGGGATAGTTTGAGATTTTGGCAATGAAGCCCTTTATCTACTTCCCCAGAATCAGAGGAACAGCAAGCATGCTAACTGTTCCTGTAGACTTCCAGTCATTGCACTAACACTAGTTAGCATTGGCTTGTGAAACTACCTTTAACTTACTTCATACTGGACGCAGAGACATCAAAATGTTATCCACAATGGTATTCTGTTGCAGCTTGCGATAATCATAAAAATCGCAGACCCCCTGCACTACCTGGCCTCAGTTTGAAAACCCCTGGTTTAACCCATTTCCATACTTTTTGAATTAATGCTCACCTCTCAAAATCTTCTTCTTTGAGAGCCTTTATCCTTTCTAACTCATGATATTCTTTATCTTTTGAAGGTTATCTGGTGCTTCCAATCTTTCTGCTTTGCCAAAGATCTCCCCTTCATCTCTCACAAACAATCATAACAGCAGCTTCAACAGCAGGAAGTAAGGACTAGTGAGCGTAGAGGGGGTTGTCTTATTGACTGATTGGGCTGGGGCACATAGAGCCATAGAGATACACTACAGAGTTCAGCAAACTGATGAAGATGTCGAGTTTTGAACGGCAGCCATCTTGGCACCAAAGGTTCTATCTAGGCAAGGAGTGCAAATTAGAATGTTATTGATATAATGGAATGTTTGGTGCTAATATGGAGGATAGTTTGTGGAACTCTGTACATCTATGGCTCTGGGTTTAGGCTTGAGGTGGTAATGCAGTGATTTGCAGTTGCCTGCATGGTTTATGGCTTTCATCTGTCGTTTTCACTTTTCACAGCAGTGTTCTCCATCATGGGACTGAAGACCTTCTGCGTATTAAACTGTATTTGAATGTCATCTCAGATTAAATCATAATCTATTGACGGAATTATGGATTGATTGACATTTCAATCTTAACTAACAAGATTCAAGGAAAGTAATTGTATGTGAGTGGTTCTAGTGAGAATCAATAGCTAGTGTGAACCTCATGCAACCCAGAAACTCTGAGTCCTAAGTTGGACACCACTGCTTAATGTATGTAGCACACTTACGGTCCGAGCACATCACTGTTTTCACCATTGCACACTGTAATGGTAGATTTATGTCCATATTGTCTTCTTGTATCTGTGGAATCCATGGTGGTGATGTTGGAATAGGATCTCCCTGCAGTCTCCCTGCAGATCCCCTTCCTGTCAACCCACTCCTCACTGTACAGCGCCAGCTTGGTCCGCTCTGTGATTGAATAATGGATAAGGTGCTATTTTAATCTTGGCTGTTTCAAACCAGGATTAAGTACGCAAGGATGGCTCTCTGTCTTTGACTGTTTGATTGTGGATAGGATATAACGCAGGCTGAGGCTATCATAGCCTGGGTGGGACTAGATGCAGTTGTTCTGAGCTACTCTCCCTAGACTCCCTGTGTACGGTAACAGTCCTCTCTCTCGCGCTTTCGCCGCTCTCTCTCTCTCTCTCGCTCTCTTACACGTTTCTCTCTGAGCTCATTGTGCTTTATATTCTGCAGTCCCTGTGTGACCTTCAGAATGCATTTCATCTGCGCTCTCCCCCTTTCCCTCTCTCCATCTCCACCCCCTCTCTCTCTCCTGGCTGCGACACAGATGCCTACTTAATTATTCTCCTCTCATCCTCCTCCAGCTATGCTCTCTACTCTGGCTACAGTAGATTCTTAAGGAGACCCAGCTATATGAATACCTAATTGCATATTAAAGAAGCTAGCTAGCTACTAGAGAAAGTAGCTGTCTATTTGGCCATGATACATTCTGCAGCCTCAGCAGGAATTATCTGCTGTCAGGCCCCCTCTGTCACCCCCCTCTGCTATTTACCCTCCTCCTTTCTCTTGAGCTCTCTCCATCTGTCTTTCTTTCCTTTACCCATCCGTCTCTCTCCTGTACCCCTTCCTCTCTCTCTCTTTCTCCTGTACCACTCTCTGTACTCCACCTCTCTTCTCTCTTGTCTCTCATTTGCTCTTGTCCCCACTCTCCCACTCTCTCTTGTCCCCCTCGCTCGCTCTCCATCTGTGTAACTCTACTTCCTGAAGCGGATTCTTGAGCATCGTCGTATCTTAGCTAGCTGCTGCTATAAATAGGCTATCCTGTGGTAGCAGCAGGGCGGAGCAGAACACACATCAGGGCAGGAGCAGGGGGATGCTAGGGGACGGGGCAGGGTAGGGGATGACACCATCACACAGCAGGGCCCGGAGAGAGAGCGAGGAGAGGCACTGCAAAACTTCAACTGTGACTGACTGACGGAGGGAGGAGGCTTCTCGTTAGCTGTGTGTGACTGTGTTGCGCTCGGTACGGGTTGGGCCTCGCTTACTGTTCCTCTCTGCTGCGTATCTGAACTGAACTGGGACTGAGTTCTTGGACCAAGGTCTGGGCAAGGAGTGGACTGAGCTGAGCTACAACTGGGCTAGAACTGGACTCAGGTTGAGTTCTGGGCTTTGGGACTGGATTAGGGCTGGATCGAACTAAGCCCGGGACTAGGACTAGGGCCGAGTTATGGAGATGGATTTTGTGAGGCCGGTGTCGAATGGTTAAAGCGTTTGAGATGAGATGCTCCTGTGCTGCTGGTGGTGCCTGAGGACAGAGCTGAGGACAGAGCTGAGGACGAACGCCTCGACAGTAGATTTAGACAGGAGCAGGGTGGTGGTGGAGAGAGCGCTGAGCTGTGAGCAGGCTGCTAATGCTAACACTTCTACTGCTGGGGCCGGTGGTGGTATTACTGGTGGTGCTGCTACACCACCCCTCGATCAATGGGACACCGCTTCGCCCCACTCCCAGAGGTCTGACTGTTACTGCTGTTGCAAGGCCTTTTGCTGTACCTCAAGGCTTTAGGGTTGAGGCTATATGCAAAGTGTGTTGTCTTTAAGTTGTGCTGACTGTGTCCTCAGGTTTAGAGTAATTATTGGGCGCTAGGGTTGGGTGGTGACAACCTTTGTATTATCGTGATAATGTACTCATAAAACATTGTGATAGATTCATATATCGCCCCCATTGGCCATGCCCCCAAAAAGTTAAATAAATAACAAATAAAAATACATTTTAAAGCATCCGCTAAAACAACAGTTGGGCTGTAGCGCGAAATTGAATGCAACTGTATGGATTTTGACAAAATATGTTGTTGAAAGCCTGGGCAGAGGCTAAGTTCAGGCAATGGCAAAAATATTTTCTAATATTCCTTTCTGGTGGAGGAGTAAAACATGTCGTCTATGTGGAGCGGTGACTGTCTGATGATGAACGAGCTGCCTTACTGTAGTGAGCTAGGTTACAGGCCAAATCAAACGACTTCCTTAGCGCTATGGCAGACTCTTATTAGTGATCACGCTAAATTCTGGAAAACTGTTAATTCACTGAAGCTGTGTAATTCCTCTACTTCCCTGCCTAAGCAGTTTCCTGCATCATTACTGAAAAAGTTAAGATTTATAATGCTTTTAATCAGCATTTTATCTCAGCTGGTTTCCTGTTTGAAAGAAATGGTGGTCATACTGGTCTTGGCCAGTCAGTTGACTGTTCTTCCCACATATAGCCTCCAGTTGCCTCGCTGGATGATCAGTCAACTTTACGTAATTTGGGAAATGGTAGTCTCTGTTTTTCTTTTTGGCAACTCACAGAAACAGAAGTTATTGCTGCCTTATTAGCTATTGACACCAAGAAATCATTAGGGGCTGACAATTTGGACCCGCCTTTGCTTAAGTATGCAGTGCCTCTCATTGCTGGCTCAGTAACACACATTTGTTATTTAACTTTATTATCAGGAAATATTTCAAAAGTGTGGAAAGCAGCTTTGGTGCTACTACTCCATAAGGGTGGGGAAAGTAGTGATCTCGATCATTATCAACCCATTTCCAGGCTCCCCTGTCTTGCGAAAATACTAGAATCATTGGTCCACAAACAGCTACGTTATTTTCTATCTGTAAATTGTATTCTTAATGTTAATCAATCCGGATTCAGACCTAAACATAGCACCACTACGGCTACCATGCTTGTTGTAAATTATATTGCAAATGCCTTAGAAAGAATTGTGCTGCCATGTTTGTAAACTTGTTTAAAGCTTTTGATACTGGAGACAATGTTATTCTGTTGAATAAGCTGTCCTCGATAGGGTTGGGTACTGACGCGTGCCGATGGTTTCATAATTATCTCAATGACAGAACTCCAGCAACAAGGTAGATGGATCAAATCTGAATTCCTTGACTTACATAAAATATTTTTTACAATCTACAGTAAATAAATAACATTGGTAATGCTTAAAAAAATAAATATATATATACAGTTGAAGTCGGAAGTTTACATTTTTAGTCATTTAGCAGACGCTCTTATCCAGAGTGACTTACAGTTAGTGAGTGCATACATTATTATTATATTTTTTTTTAAATTAAAAAATAAATAAAAATCTTACTGGCCCCCCGTGGGAATCGAACCCACAACCCTGGCGTTGCAAACGCCATGCTCTACCAACGGAGCTACATCCCTGCCGGCCATTCCCTCCCCTACCCTGGACGACGCTGGGCCAATTGTGCGCCGCCCCATGGGTCTCCCCGTCACGGCCGGCTACGACAGAGCCTGGATTCGAACCAGGATCTCTAGTGGCACAGCTAGCACTGCGATGCACTGCGCCACTCGGGAGTTTACATACACTTAGGTTGGACTCATTAAAACTCATTTTTCAACCACTCCACAAATTTCTTGTTAACAAACTCTAGTTTTGGCAAGTCATTTAGGACATCTACTTTGTGCATGACACAAGTAATTTTTCCAACAATTTGTTTACAGACAGATTATTTTTTATAATTCACTGTATCACAATTCCAGTGGGTCAGAAGTTTACATAAACTAAGTTGACTGTGCCTTTAAACAGCTTGGAAAATTCCAGAAAATGATGTCATGGCTTTAGAAGCTTCTGATAGGCCAATTGACATCATTTGAGTCAATTGGAGGTGAACCTGTGGATGTATTTCAAGGCCTACCTTCAAGCTCAGTGCCTCTTTGCTTGACATCATGGGAAAATCAAAATAAATCAGCCAAGACCTCAGAAAACAAATTGGAGACCTCCACAAGTCTGGTTCATCCTTGGGAGCAATTTCCAAACGCCTGAAGGTACCACGTTCATCGGTACAAACAATAGTACGCAAGTATAAACACCATGGGACCACGCAGCCGTCATACCGCTCAGGAAGGAGACGCGTTCTGTCTCCTAGAGATGAACGTACAAAATAAATGTCATCATGAGGAAGGAAAATTATGTGGCTATATTGAAGCAACATCTCAAGACATCAGTCAGGAAGTTAAAGCTTGGTTGCAAATGGGTCTTCCAAATGAACAATGACCCCAAGCATACTTCCAAAGTTGTGGTAAAATGGCTTAAGGACAACAAAGTAAGGTATTGGAGTGGCCATCACAAAGCCCTGACCTCAATCCTATAGATAATTTGTGGGCAGAACTGAAAAGGCGTGTGCGAGCAAGGAGGCCTTCAAACCTGACTCAGTTACACCAGCTCTGTCAGGAGGAATGGGCCAAAATTCACCCAACTTATTGTGGGAAGCATGTGGAAGGCTACCCAAAACATTTGACCCAAGTTAAACAATGTAAAGGCAATGCTACCAAATACTAATTGAGTGTGTGTAAACTTCTGACCCACTGGGAATGTGATGAAAGAAATAAAAGCTGAAATAAATCACTCTCTATTATTTATTCACATTCTTAAAATAAAGTGGTGATCCTAACTGACCTAAGACAGGGATTTTTTAGTAGGATTAAATGTCAGGAGTTGTGAAAAACTGAGTTTAAATGTATTTGGCTAAGGTGTATGTAAACTTCCGACTTCAACTGTATGTAAACTATACATACAAAGTATGTGGACACCCCTTCAAATTAGTCGATTCCGCTATTTGAGCCATACCCGTTGCTGACAGGTGTATAAAGTCGAGCACACAGCCATGCAAACTCCGTAGACAAACATTGGCAGTAGAATGGCTTACTGAAGAGCTTTGTGACTTTCAACGTGGCACCGTCATAGAATGCCACCTTTCCAACAAGTCAGTTCTTCAAATTTCTGCCCTGCTAGAGCTGCCCCGTCAACTGTAAGTGTTGTTATTGTGAAGTGAAAACGTCTAGGAGCGACAACGGCTCAGCCACAGTGTGGTATACTGCACAAGCTCACAGAACGGGACCGCCGAATGTTGTTGCGCGTAAATATCATCTGTCCTCAGTTGCAACACTCACTACCGAGTTCCAAACTGTCTCTGGAAGCAACGTCATCACAAGAACTGTTCGTCGGGAGCTTCATGAAATGGATTTCCATGGCCAAGCAGCTGCGCACACAAGCCCAAGATTACCATGTGCAATGCCAAGCGTCGGCTGGAGTGGTGTAAAGCTCGCCGCCATTAGACTCTGGAGCAGTGGAAACGCGTTCTCTGGAGTAATGAATCACGGCAGTCCGACGGACGAATCTGGGTTTGGCAGATGCCAGGAGAATGCTACCTTCCCCAATGCATAGTGCCAACTGTAAAGTTTGGTGGACGAGGAATAATTGTCTATGGCTGTTTTTCATGGTTCGAGCTAGGCCCCTTAGTTCCAGTTAAAGGAAATCTTAATGCTACAGCATACTATGACATTCTAGACGATTCTGTGCTTCCAACTTTGTGGCAACAGTTTGAGGAAGGCCCTTTCCTGTTTCAGCATGACAATTCCCCCGTGCACAAAGCAAGGTCCATTTAGAAATGGTTTGTCGAGATTGCTGCACAGAGCCCTGACCTCAACCCCACCGAACACCTTTGGGATAAATTGGAACGCCGATGGCGAACCAGGCCTAATCGCCAAAATCAGTGCCCGACCTCACTAATGCTCTGTTGGTCCCCGCGGTAATGTTCCAACATCTAGTTGAAAGCCTTCCCAGAAGAGTGGAGGCTGTTATAGCAGCATATTAATACGCATTAATTTGGAATGAGATGTTTGACGAGCAGGTGTCCACATACTTTTAGTCTTGTAGTGTGTATCGTAACATGTAAAGTGTTTGTCCCATGTTGCATGAGCTGAAAAAATTAGTCCCAGGAATGTTCCATATGCATGTTCCATATTTCTCCTTTGCCAAGATAATCCATCCACCTGACAGGTGTGGCATATCAAGAAGCTGATTAAACAGCATGATCATTACTGTCAAGTTCTGCGTGATTTCTGGCTGACCACAGCTCTGCCCAAACTTGAAAACGGCTTTATCCTTGATGAACGCAAAGGACAACTCAAAACTGTTCACTTTATGATTTTTTATTGTCATAAAGATGGAACAGAATAGGTTGATAACCTTCAAAACACACAAACAAAACCCCATGGATTAGTTACAAATAACCCTCAATTCCACTTTCTCAAAAATAAGCATAAACTAATGTTACTGAATCCTCAAACCTAACCAAACAATCATTTCATCATTTAGATTAACCTAGGATCATTGCAAGTTAATAATTAAATATCAATATCATAATTAAACATTTAACAATACACATGATTATAGTAACGTTACTGTCAAGTTCTACGTTCACATAATGAAGTCTTCACTATTTAATTTAATTAATAATTGTATTGTATGTTACAACCAAACCAAAAGGGCATATAGAAGCATGAATTCACAACACATTCTGTCCTACCAGTTGCGTCTTTGGATGATCAGGAGCTGTGGTCATTGGTATCTCTTCTCAGGAATGAGTGAGAGCCAAGTAAGCTTTTACCAAACATTTCGATGCCATGCACATGCACTGCTTGTGGGTGCGCAGGTTAATATGGTCCCCAGAGCACTTCCTGGTGGTTGGTTTCAACAGCTCCGGTTGCATGGTTGCCCCCTGCAGGTTGGGAGTGCTTTGAGCACCCTGGGTGGATTTAGGCTTGAGTGCTCGGTATAGCTTGTAGTCAGGAATTGACACAACAATTACACAGGTGCACCTTGTGCTGGGGACAATAAAAGACAACTTTACAATGTGCAGTTTTGTCACACAACACAACACAATGCCACGTCTCATCCAACCGGCCTCACAACAGCAGACCACGTGTAACCACACCAGCCCAGGACCTCCACATCCGGCTTCTTCACCTGCAGGATCGTCTGAGGGGTGGGGGTGTTGCTTAGGAGTAGTTCTGTCTGTAATAAATACCTTTTTGTGGGGGATAACCTGATTCTGATTGGCTGGGCCTGGCTCCCCAGTGCGTGGATCTGGCTCCCCAGTGGGTGGGCCTGACTGCCAAGTGGGTGGGCCTATGCCCTCCCAGGCCCACACATGGCTGCGCCCCTGCCCAGTCCTGAAATCCATAGATTAGGGCGTAATGAATTTCTTTCAATTGACTGATGTCCTTATATGAACTGTAACTCAGTAAATTCATTAATGTTGTTGCATGTTGCGTTTTATTTTTGCTATTGTTTTTATTTTCGACCATCACATCACGATGTCACCATCAATGATGGCTGTCAATCGTCAATAGACAATGCTGTCGTAATTTCGCCCAACCCTATTGGGAGCTGTGCTATATACTGTAGGTGTTTTGTTTTTATTGTGTAATTGTGTTTTCCTATTGTGTACCTTTCTCCCCACACTGAATGAGAAGTTAGAAATACCTTCTAAGAAGAAATGGGGGTGGGCACTAGCCTTTGTATTTATTAATGATCCCAATTACTCTTCCTGGGATCCAAACAAGATTAAGGCAATTACATAACAAAAATAAATTAAACAGTGTGTCATGCATACAGCACATTATTGCGCCACTACTCTAAGTACTTTATGCCTGCATTAGTTTGGTAAAATTATCCAGTAAGTCCATGTTCTCTATTTATTCCTGACTGATGTTATGTATCCTCTTCAGTGTGAAAAACTCTAGCTACAGCCTTCCGTCGTACCACCCGTATAACAGCTATGAGTGCTCCGAGGGCAGGCAGAGTGAGCAGGCTGGCCTGTGTGGTCTCTCCAACCTGGGAAACACCTGCTTCATGAACTCTGCACTGCAGGTACCATACCCTAACCCCTCAACTGTTAACGCTGAACTCTGGTGTGTATGCATTCGTTTTAATTGTATCTTGGCAGGAACAGCTGCGTTTATTGATTGACCTTTGGTATTGTATATACTGTTGGTTTAGGTGATTCCTTTGACTTGGATTTTTCATTTTGATTTTCTCATTCCCTGTCTCTTGCATATTTTACTGCTTATTTTCCCAACTTTAATCATTTTTACGTATTTTATATTTTTATTTCTCATTGTTTTTCTGCAGTGTTTAAGTAATGTACCTCCTCTCACCGAGTATTTCCTGAAAGACAAGTACAAAGATGAGTTGAACGAGGACAACCCTCTGGGAATGAAAGGGGAGATCGCCAAGGCCTACGCTGATATCACCAAGCAGTCGTGGTCTGGGAAGTACAGCTACGTCACACCACGGCCTTTCAAGGTAATTTAGGGTACCAGGGTTGGTGTCAAGTCCATTTCCATTCCAGGCAATTCAGAATGTATACTGAAATTCCAATTATCTTCAGTGCTTTCCAAGTGGGAAAATGTGTAATTGGAATTTGGTTTACATTCTGAATTGAAATGGAAATGACCCCAACCATGTACTGTACCCATACCTACCTGCTGAAATTCACATGGGCTGAAAGTTGTTCCCTCACTTCTGCCTTGATTCCTTGTCTGATCGAAATCGGATTGAAATGCAGCTATGATGTGCCCGATCCCAAATTGACCCACAAGCCACAACAACCGAGACTCTTGAGCAGTGATGTAGTGGTAGAAAAAATGGGTGGGTAAACACTGATTTCCGTTTGTGGTGAATAAAGTAATGCTCCCTATACATTCAATGCGGTTTTCCGCAATAGTTGGGTAAACGTTTGCGCAAAATAAAAAAGGTGCGTAAACAGTGTTTGTGTGTTTACCCTCGATTACACCACTGCTCTTGAGTAGAAATATGGCAATAGTACTACTTTGCTAACTGACTATTTTGCTTCCTCTCATTCAATCTACACAAGTTCCCTAGGGGTGAGGTGTCAATTTGGAATTTCCTATATATCTGTTGCTGAACCTGTTTTGTGTGTGTCTCTGTTCTCCCCTCCCTCCAGACCCAGGTGGGTCGCTTCGCCCCCCAGTTCTCAGGCTACCAGCAGCAGGACTCTCATGAGCTGCTGGCCTTCCTGTTGGACGGTCTACACGAGGACCTGAACCGTATCAGGAAGAAACCCTACATCCTGCTCAAAGACGCCGAGGGCAGGCCTGACAAGGTCTGTTACTGCTAGCTTACTTTCACTCTTTATTTTATTGGTTTAGTTTCATTCATTTTACTATTTGTCAGGGACCATGCACAACAAATACATTGCACAATAGCTACAGTACTCAGCTGGGCAACACTTTCTCTGTAATCCCAGGTAGTCTTTGCGCTCTCTCTGGCACTCAACACTCATTCAGTTGTTGTTGTGTGTTGATTGTTTAAATGGAAATCTTTATCTTTGAAGCCACCATCTTGAGTTTTGTGTTTCATCCCAATTAGGCATTTATATTCAAGAATCAATGGGTATATCATTAATTGAAATTACCAATTGAATGGCAGGAAATATGCCAGATCTTTCGCAAACTCTATAACCTCATCATATCGACTCTGTAGCCAATGTGTTTCTGGAGGAGAACCAGTTGCAGTGGGAACAAACAGTGTTCCTATCTCCAGTCACTCCGCTGTGTCATTTTAGTCTGTGTTGAAATGGTTTCTCATAGCCCTGAGACATGGCTGTAACCTCCCATTATTGTAGCTTATAAAGTCTCTCTTCTATGTTTCTGATTGCTTTGCTTCCCTTCTGTATGACTGTAGGCATGTTTCTAGAGTAGAAACAGTGTACCACTCCAAAGTGTTACCTTGGTTTATGTCAAAATGGTTTCTCAGCCATATTCCTCCCCTCTGTGTGACTACTGTAGGTGTTTGCCGAGGAGGTGTGGGAATAGTTGTACCACCACACACTCCGTGTCCCTTCACCCCGTAGTTTGAGTCTTTCCCTTCCCCTCTGTGTAAATGTAGGTAGTGGCTGAGGAGAAGAGCAAAACCAGTAGTGGGAATAAACGGTGTCATAGTACTGTACCACCTCCAGACACTCCATTGTTGCCCTCTAACCCTGTGTCAAAAATGGTTCCTCACTATCTTTCCTCACCTCTGTAGGTGGTGGCTGAGGAGGCATGGGAGAACCACATCAAGAGGAACGACTCCATCATTGTGGACATCTTCCACGGCCTCTTCAAGTCCACCCTGGTGTGCCCAGTCTGCGCCAAGGTCTCCGTCACCTTTGACCCCTTCTGCTACCTGACCCTGCCGCTGCCCATGAAAAAGGAGCGCACCCTGGAGATCTACCTGGTCAGGTTGGACCCCCTGGCCAAACCCACACAGGTAACTACAGTAACTGGGTTGTATTCATTAGTGCACACCGTAGCAAAAGCTTTTGCAACTGAAAACAAAAATAAGTGTTTCTTATTGGATAGCACCTCCCCGTTTTGGCCTGTTTGCTTCTGTTTTGTATCTAGTGTATATGACCAAGGTCAGTCTGGACCCCCTGGCCAAACCCACACAGGTACTGAGCTGTTACCGCTTACCTAGAAATGAGTCATCCTTCACATATTGTGGTCACCCACAATATTCTCTGCTGTCCTCTGAAGTGGATTTGAGTAGATTTGAGTATTTGTAATCAGCTTATGCTCTGAATAGGGCCAGATGGAATCTGCAGGGAGGTCCTTTCTATCAATACCTTCTGAAGGCTTGGTGTATATTTAATGAATCTGCAGCTATTCATTCTTCATGGGGCTTGGGGAAATTTTGCTCCTGCGGATTAAGTTATGAGTTAATCTTAGGATCCCAGCTTAATGGCCGTTTTGTCTTTCTCTGTGTTTCAGTATAAACTGACTGTGCCCAAGGTGGGCTACATATCAGACCTCTGTACCTCGCTCTCCACTCTATCTGATGTCCCTGCTGAGAAGGTAAGATACACACACACACACACACACACGTCTGTCCTGCTCTTAACTAAATCAGTTCTCCCTCAAAAAAGTGTTTTTTACCCTCAAGGGATGTTATACCTGGTTAAATAGAGGCTAAATGAAAATGTACGCTCTGGAATGGTATACAGTGCATTCGGAAAGTATTCAGACCCCTTCCCTTTTTCCAGATTTTGTTATGTTACAGCCTTATTCTAAAATGGATTAAATACATTTATTTCCTCTTCAATCTACAAACAAGTTTTTTGAATTTTTTGCACATTTAATAAAAAAAAAAACAGATACGTTATTGAGACTCGAAATTGAGCTCAGGTGTATCCTTTTTCCATTGATCACATCAGAGCAAATACCAAGCCGCGAGGTCAAAGGAATTGTCCGTAGAGCTCCGAGACAGGATTGTGTCAAGGCACAGATCTGGAGAAGGGTACCAAAACATTTCATTTCTGCAGCATTGAAGGTCCCCAAGAACACAGTGGCCTCCATCATTCTTAAATGGAAGAAGTTTGGAACCACCAAGACTCATCCTAGAGCTGGGTACCCAGCCAAAGTGCGCAATCGGGGGAAAAGGGCGGTGACCAAGAACCCGATGGTCACTGGTTCTTGGCAGCATCCCTACGGTGAAGCATGGTGGTGTGGGCATCATGCTGTGGGGATGTTTTTAAGTGGCAGGGACTGGGAGACTAGTCAGGGTCGAGGGAAAGATGAACGGAGCAAAGCGCTCAGGACCTCAGACTGGGGCGAAGGTTCACCTTCCAAAATGACAGCGACCCTAAGCACACAGCCAAGATAACGCAGGAGTGGCTTCGGGACAAGTCTCTGAATGTCCTTGAATGGCCAAGCCAGAGCCTGGACTTGAACCCGATCGAACATCTCTGGAGAGACCTGAAAATAGCTGTGCAGCAATGCTCCCCGTCCAACCTGACAGAACTTGAGAGGATCTGCAGAGACGAATGGGAGAAACTCCACAAATACAGGTTTGCCAAGCTAGTAGCGTCATACCCAAGAAGACTGTAATCGCTGCCAAAGGTGCTTCAACAAAGTACTGAGTAAAGGGTCTGAATACTTATATAAGAAATTGAAAAATCACATTTACATATTTATACATTAGCAAAACATTTGAAAAACCTGGTTTTGTTTTGTCATTATGGGGTTTTGTGTGTAGATTGATGAGGGAAAAAAAGCAATTGAATCCATTTTAGAATACAGCTGTAACGTAACAAAATGTGGAAAAAGTCAAGGGGTCTGAATACTTTCTGAATGCACTGTGTGTGTACTTAAGATGTTTATATTTTCTTTCCAAATTCAGATGATTGTAACAGATATCTACAACCATCGGTTCCATCGGATCTTTGCCACCAATGAGAACCTCAGCAGCATCATGGAGAGGGACGACATCTATGTGTGAGTGTCAGATACAGACTATTCTGATGAAGGCAGTTGGATGAAGCGCTGTCTACTCCCCCTCCAGTGTAAGATATGAGAAACCTGGGTCGTATTCATTAGTCACCAAACAGAAGGGCATGGACTGAAACAGGGAGGGACTACCTGAACCTGTCCAATAGGAAACACTCAGTGTTCCCTTGCAAAACATTTTGCTACGGTATGCCCTAATGAATACGACCTTTAACTTACCAACGATGCAGACATCTGCAACACATTCACCCTACCCTATACAGTGCCTTGCAAAAGTATTCATCCCCCTTGGCATTTATCCTATTTTGTTGCATTACAACCTGTAATTTAAATTGATTTTTATTTGGATTTCATGTAATGGACATACACAAAATAGTCCAAATTGGTGAAGTGAAATAAAAAAAAATACTTGTTTCAAAAAATTCAAAAAAATAAATAACGGAAAAGTGGTGCGTGCATATTTATTCACCCCCTTTGCTATGAAGCCCCTAAATAAGATCTGGTGCAACCAATTACCTTCAGAAGTCAAATAATTAGTTAAATAGTCCACCTATGTGCAATCTAAGTGTCACATGATCTCTGTATATATACACCTGTTCTGAAAGGCCCCAGAATCTGCAACACCACTAAGCAAGGGGCACCACCAAGCAAGCGGCACCATGAAGACCAAGGAGCTCTCCAAACACGTCAGGGACAAAGTTGTGGAGAAGTACAGATCAGGGTTGTGTTATAAAAAAATATCCGAAACATTGAACATCCCACGGAGCACCATTAAATCCATTATTTAAAAAATGGAAAGAATATGGCACCACAACAAACCTGCCAGGAGAGGACCGCCCACCAAAACTCATGGACCAGGCAAGGAGGGCATTAATCAGAGAGGCAACAAAGAGACTAAAGATAACCCTGAAGGAGCTGCAAAGCTCCACAGCGGAGATTGGAGTATCTGTCCATAGGACCACTTTAAGCCGTACACTCCACAGAGCTGGGCTCTTTGGAAGAGTGGCCAGAAAAAGCCATTGCTTAAAGAAAAGAATGAGCAAATGTGTTTGGTGTTCGCCAAAACATATGGAAGAAGGTACTCTGGTCAGATGAGACTAAAATTGAGCTTTTTGGCCATCAAGGAAAACGCTGTGTCTGGCGCAAACCCAACACCTCATCACCCCGAGAACACCATCCCCACAGTGAAGCATGGTGGTGGCAGCATCATGCTGTGGGGATGTTTTTCATCGGCAGGGACTGGGAAACTGGTCAGAATTGAAGGAATGATGGATGGCGCTAAATACAGGGAAATTCTTGAGGGAAACCTGTTTGTCTTCCAGAGATTTGAGACTGGGACGGAGGTTCACCTTCCAGCAGCTAAAGCAACACTCGAGTGGTTTAAGGGGTAACATTTAAATGCCTTGGAATGGCCTAGTCAAAGCCCAGAGCTCAATCCAATTGAGAATCTGTTGTATGACTTAAAGATTGCTGTACACCAGCGGAACCCATCCAACTTGAAGGAGCTGGAGCAGTTTTGCCTTGAAGAATGGGCAAAAATCCCAGTGGCTAGATTTGCCAAGCTTATAGAGACATACCCCAAGAGACTTGCAGCTGTAATTGCTGCAAAAGGTGGCTTTACAAAGTATTGACTTTTGGGGGGTGAATAGTTATGCACGCTGAATTTTTTATTTTATTTTTGTCTTATTTCTTGTTTGTTTCACAATAAAACATATTTTGTATCTTCAAAGTGGTAGGCATGTTGTGTAAATGAAATGATACAAACCCCCCAAAAATCAATTTTAATTCCAGGTTTTAAGGCAACAAAATAGGAAAAATGCCAAGGGGGGGTGAATACTTTTGCAAGCCACTGTAGTTCTGTAGCTTTGAGGTTGCAGTGCATTTGTTCTTAATAACTAACTTAACGTAGCAGGCGTCTGAGCGGGGTTTCTTTCTTTCTTGTCCTGATGAGAAAGAAAAAAACAGAACAGATTGTCTTCTGCACTGTTGAACCAATCCAGTAAATGTGGAGGAGGAATTAAGATGGAGTGTCGCCTTGTTAACGTCCAAAAGCGGTAGTCGCGTCACAGGGTCTTTCCATTTCCCCTGAAAACCGGATGCATCTGGTTGTTGCCGAGCCTGCAAACGGTGGTTCTTAACTGACTTGCCATGGTAAATGAAGGTTAAATTAATGGGGGGAAAAATAACTCTCTCCTTGTTGTACAGCTTTGAGGTGGCAGTGAACCGGCTGGAGGACACAGACCATGTGGTGATCCCAGTCCACCTTAGAGAAAAGTACAAGCAGTCAGGGTACAACCACACCTCCACTCCTCTGTTTGGCCAGCCCTTCCTCATCACTGTCCCCAGAACACTCAGCGAGGACAAGCTCTACAACATGCTGCTGCTACACCTCTGGTGGGTCACACACACACTCTTACATGCATACAGTTTATTCGGAAAGTATTCAAACCCATTGACTTTTTCCACATTTTGTTACGTTACAGCCTTATTCTAAAATTGAGTAAATTGTATTTTTTTCTAATCAATCTACACACAAAACCCCATAATGACAGTCAAAACTGGTTTTTACAAATGTTTGCAAATGTATTTAAAAAAACAAACAGAAATACCTTATTTACATAAGTATTCAGACTCTTTGCTATGAGACTCGAAATTGAGCTCAGGTGCATCCTGTTTCCATTGATCATCCTTGAGATGTTTCTACAACTTGATTGGAGTCCACCTGTGGTAAATTCAATTGATTGGACATAACTTGGAAAGGCACACACCTTTCTATATAAGGTCCCATGAGGTCGAAGGAATTGTCCATAGAGCTCCGAGACAGGATTGTGTCGAGGCACAGATCAGGGGAAGGCTTCCAAAACATTTCTGCAGCATTGAATGTCCCCAAGAATACAGTGGCCTCCATCATTCTTAAATGGAGGAAGTTTGGGAACCACCAAGACTCTTCCTAGAGCTGGGCACTCGGCCAAACTGAGCAATCGGGGGAGAAGGGCCTTGGTCAGGGAGGTGACCAAGAATCCGATGGTCACTCTGACAGAGCTCCAGAGTTCCTCTGTGGAGGTGGAAGAACCTTCCAGAAGGACAACCATCTCTGCAGCACTCCACCAATCAGGCCTTTATGGTAGAGTGGCCAGATGGAAGCCACTCCTCAGTAAAAGTTACATGACCACCCACTTGGAGTTTGCCAGAAGGCACCTAAAGGACTCTCAGACCATATGAGAAACAATATTCTCTGGACTGATGAAACCAAGATTGAACTATTTGGCCTGAAAATGCACCAATTTGTAAGTCTGCTAAATGACGTAAATGTAATACCAAGCGTTACGTCTGGAGGAAACCTGGCACCATCCCTACGGTGAAGCATGGTAGTGACAGCATCATGCTGTGGGGATGTTTTTCAGTAGCAGGGACTGGGAGACTAGTCAGGATCGAGGGAAAGATGAACAGAGCAAAGTACAGAAAGATCCTTGATGAAATCCTGCTCCAGAGCGCTCAGGACTTCAGACTGGGGCAAAGGATCACCTTCCAACAGGACAACGACCCTAAGCACACAGCCAAGACCATGCAGGAGTGGCTTCGGGACAAGTCTCTGAGTGTCCTTGAGTGGCCCAGCCAGAGCCCGGACTTGAATCCGATCTAACATCTCTGGAGATACCTGAAAATAGCTGTACAGCGACGCTCCCCATCCAACCTGACAGAGCTTGAGAGGATCTGCAAAGAAGAATGGGAGAAACTCCCCAAATACAGGTATGCCAAGCTTGTAGCGTCATACCCAAGAAGACTCAAAGCTGTAATCGCTGCCAAAGGTGCTTCAACAAAGTTCTGAGTAAAGGGTCTGAATACTTATGTAAATGTGATATTTCCGTTTTTGCTTTGTCATTATGGGGTATTGTGTGTTGATTTGAGTTAAAAAAGCAATTTATTCAATTTTAGAATAAGGCTTTAACGTAACAATATGTGGAAAAATCAGGGGGTCAGAATACTTTCCGAATGCACTGTACATACATACATGCGCTTTACAACATGCTGCTGCTACGCATCTGGTGGTTAGTAACCATTTCAGAAACTGCCGCTAACTAACCTTGTACTCTGCGCTCTTGTTAAGTACTTAGCCTAATTGTGACAGATGTTGCTGTAAAAAGGGCTATATAAATACTTTTGATTGCTCTTTTCATTGTTTCTAAGGAACCTTTTTAGTTTCTAGTGTAAACTAGGCTTTGACACAATGTCACGATTTTATATGTTTTCTCATGAAATGTTTTATACTCTTGGAGCACTGAAGAACTGAGTAATAACATCACTGAGGGTGGAATGATTTTGAGGGTGGATGTTTCTTTCTCCGGGGGGAGCATATCAATTATGTTGAGCGGTTAGATGTTGTTGAAGTATGTCTGTATGTATTGAATGGTAACTGATTATATTAATATTGTGTATTTGTGTTGTATGGTACAGTCGGTTTGTGCGTTCTGTCATTGAGGAGGACGACACTGAGGAGACAACCCCCTCTTCTAAAGAACACACTGTCAATGGCAACGCTACCAATGGAGTCATGGAGGAGGGCTCGCCCAGTACGTAACACACACACGCTCAAACACATACACATGCGCTCACCTGGGCGTTTTTACTGAAGAATGTGTTTGTTTCATATGATTGTGTGTTGTGTTTCCCTTTGATGTATTTTGTAATTGATGTGTAAATTGATGTGATGGGGCGGCAGGTAGCTTAGTGGTTAAGAGCGTTGTGCCAGTAACCGAAAGGTTGCTGTTTCTAATCCCCAAGCCGACTACGTGAAAAATCTGTCGGTGCCCTTGAGCAAGGCACTTAACCCTAATTGCTCCTGTAAATCGCTCTGGATAAGTGATTGTTTTATTGATGTGTTCATGCAGGGCTCATCTACGAAAGAGACTGTGGTCTCAGCATTAAATAAAGGTTAAATAAAAAATGTAACCCCTGTCGATAAAGCTATTTCAAAATCTGATCGGCTGATCCACTCCATTCCAGGTGAGATGGAGACTGACGAGCAGGATGGAGACGACGAATCCAGTCAGGACAAGGAGCTGCCCTCTGAGAACGACAACAGCCAATCAGAAGACTCTGTGGGTGGCGGGGACAACGAGCTGGAGAACGGGGTTGGTCCAGAGGGAGAGAACTCGGGGACCAAATGTCACCAGAACCAGACGTCTACGACGATGGGGGAGAAGAATAGATTGTTTACATTCCAGTTTAACAACATGGGCAAGACGGACTTCAGCTTAATCAAGGAGGAACCGCGGCAGATCCGGTTCGACGAGGGACACCTCAGACTCAGTGGTAAGTTGGCCATTTTACATTCAGTACGCAGATGAAGTCACAACCCTCCAATAAAGATAAAAACATGGTAACGTTCTAGTAACATTTATACTTATTGTAAGCACTAAGCAGTGCCTCTACTAGTTGTTAATGCACAATCCACCTTTCTCTTTCTATTACATTCTCACCTTTACAATGAGTCTTAAAGGGTATATTGCTTTCTTCCTGTAACAGACAGGTCCTATCTCTCTTTGGACTGGGAACCAGAGGTAAAGAAGAAACACTTTGATGAGAGTATCATAGAGGTAAGGCTTTCTACTCTCTTTTAACACTAGAAACCATTTTACCTACACTACCCTCCGTATTTATTTGGACAGTGAAGATAATATGTGTAAATTTGGCCCTATACTCCAGCATTTTCTATTTGAGATCAAATGTTTCATATAAGGGGTGAGGGTAGTTTCATACATATGTTTTACCATTTAGAAATGAATTCACTATGTATCTAGTCCCCCAATTGGAATACTTTTTTTTCATAAGTATTTGGACAAATTAACTTATAGGGTATTAAAGTAGTCAAAAGTTTAGTATTTGGTCCCATATTCCTAGACTAAAACAAGCTTGTGACTCTACAGACTTGTTGGATGCATTTGCAGTTTGTTTTGGTTGTGTTTCGGATAATGTTTTGCCCAATAGGAACTGAATGGTGAATAGTGTATTGTCATTTTGGAGTCACTTTTATTGTAAATAGGAATAAACTTCTACATGAATGTGAATGGTACCATGATTATGGATAATCATGAATGAATTATGAATAATGATACGTGAGAAAGTTACTGAGAAACAAAGATCATACCCCCCCCGATAATGCTAACCACCCCTGTTATTGGTAATGGTGAGAAGTTAGCATTTTTTGGGGGGTATGATCTTTGTTCCTCTGTAACTTTCTCACTCATCATTATGACAGGTGACATTCTGTACTGTCGCCTCATATAAAACATTTGATCTCAAATCCAAAATGCTGGAGTATAGAGCCAAATGTACAAATTTTTGCGTCACTGTCTAAATATATACAGAAAGGAGTGTATATCAATTCATGTCAGACTCCTCTGTATGGATGTCTATGTGTCTGTCCTTATGCATTCAAACTAGAACAGTTTTTCCCAAACCTGGTGTGCTAGTTTGTAGATCAAATAGTTGGAATGGCTGGAGGTATTTGAGGAGAGGCTTGGGAAACACTGTTGTAGAACGAATGTCTCTCTTTAAGCCTTTGATGGTAATAATACTGTACTAAATAAGTAATAACCAAAATCTCGCTCTGCCTGTGAACAGGACTTTGAGAAGCATGAGAGCATGGAGTATAAGCCTCAGAAGAAAGCCTTCTTCAAGCTGAAAGACTGCATCGAGCTGTTCACCACCAAAGAGAAGCTCGGAGCTGAGGACCCATGGTGAGACTTACCTTCATATTGTCAAGGCTAATAGAGAAAATAATGAACATTTAAAAGAATAGTTTACTCAAAATACAAATTAACATGGTATTAGTCTCGGTTAACCCAGAACTAAAATCTTCTGTAATTTTGTCAGATGTGTAATTTATCCTGGCTGTCTCAGGTACTAAGAAAGGGTATGCTTTTTTAAATTGTCAAATAAAATATAATAATTCATCCATCTATCCCAGGTACTGTCCGAACTGCAAGGAGCACCAGCAGGCCACTAAGAAGCTGGACCTGTGGTCTCTGCCTCCAGTCCTAGTGATCCATCTGAAACGTTTCTCCTACAGCAGATACATGAGGGACAAGCTGGATTCATTAGTCGATTTCCCACTCAGGTACGGTTTTGACCAGATGGCCATTCTTTTCTGTAAAAATAAGCTGTCATGTCAAAGTTTATTAACAAGTAAATTATGTAAATTAAAAACACTGTTCCCCTAAGACTTAAAGGGATACTTTAGGATTTTGTTCTACTTCCCCAGAGTCCGATGAACTCGAGGATACCATTTTTATGTCTCTGCGAGCAGTTTGAAGGAAGTTGCTAACATGCATACTAACTGTAAGTCGCTCTGGATAAGAGCGTCTGCTAAATGACTAAAATGTAAAATGTAAATGTAATGCATGCCCATACACTTTTTGGGCGGGGTAGGCTGTCATTGCAAAAAGTTTCTTCTTTTTTTGTTAGGGGTTAGATCAGCTTTAATATTGCAGATAGATTGTAACTTCCATCAATGTAATTATCTGCATCACTTCCAATCCCCCATATGTTTTTTTCTCTCGCAAATATATATAAATATACAGTCGTGGTCAAAAGTTTTGAGAATGACACAAATATTAATTTTCACAAAGTCTGCTGCCTCAGTTTTGATGATGGCAATTTGCATATACTCCAGAATGTCATGAAGAGTGATCAGATGAATTGCAACTAATTGCAAAGGCCCTCTTTGCCATGAAAATGAACTTAATCCCCCAAAAACATTGCCACTGCATTTCAGCCCAGCCACAAAAGGACCAGCTCCATCATGTCAGTGATTCTCTCGTTAACACAGGTGAGAGTGTTGACGAGGACAAGGCTGGAGATCACTCTGTCATGCTGATTGAGTTAGAATAACAGACTGGAACCTTTAAAAGGAGGGTGGTGCTTGACATCATTGTTCTTCCTCTGTTAACCATGGTTACATGCAAGGAAACACGTGCCGTCATCATTACTTTGCACAAAAAGGGCTTCACATGCAAGGATATTGCTGCTAGTAAGATTGCACCTAAATCAACCATATATCGGATCATCAAGAACTTCAAGGAGTGAGGTTCAATTGTTGTGAAGAAGGCATCAGGGCGCCCAAGAAAGTCCAGCAAGCTCCAGGACCGTCTCCTAAAGTTGAATCAGCTGTGGGATCGGGGCACCACAAGTGCAGAGCTTGCTCAGGAATGTCAGCAGGCAGGTGTGAGTGCATCTGCACGCACAGTGAGGCGAAGACTTTTGGAGGATGGCCTGGTGTCAAGAAGGGCAGCAAAGAAGCCACTTCTCTCCAGGAAAACATCAGGGACAGACTGATATTCTGAAAAAGGTACAGGCATTGGACTGCTGAGGACTGGGGTAAAGTCATTTTCTCTGTTGAATCCCCTTTTCGATTGTTTGGGGCATCCGGAAAATACCTTGTCCGGAGAAGACAAGGTGAGCGCTACCATCAGTCCTGTGTCATGCCAACAGTAAAGCATCCTGAGACCATTCATGTGTGGGGTTGCTTCTCAGCCAAGGGAGTGGGCTCACTCACAATTTTGCCTAAGAACACAGCCATGAATAAAGAATGGTACCAACACATCCTCCGAGAGCAACTTCTCCCAACCATCCAATAACAGTTTGGTGATGACCAATGCCTTTTCCAGCATGATGGAGCACCTTGCCATAAGGCAAAAGTGATAACTAAGTGGTTTGGCGAACAAAACATCGACATTTTGGGTCCATGGCCAGGAAACTCCCCAGACCTTAATCCCATTGAGAACTTTTGGTCGATCCTCAAGAGGCGGGTGGACAAACAAAAACCCACAAATTCTGACAAACTCCAAGCATTGATTATGCAAGAATGGGCTGCCATCAGTCAGGATGTGGCCCAGAAGTTAATTGACAGCATGCTAGGGCGGATTGCAGAGGTCTTGAAAAAGAAGGGTCAACACTGCAAATATTGACTCTTTGCATAAACTTAATGTAATTGTCAATGAAAGCCTTTGACACTTATGGAATGCTTGTAATTATACTTCAGTATACCATAGTAACATCTGACAAAATATCTCATAACACTGAAGCAGCGAACTTTGTGAAGACCAATACTTGTGTCATTCTCAAAACTTTTGACCACGACTGTATTTATACATATACATGCACATACATAAATATAAATACATATATATATATATATATATATATATATATATATATATATATATATATATATATATATATATATATATATATATATATATATACCCTTTAAAAAAATATATTTCCCTTTATTACTTTCCAACCCCACCACCCCTTCCCTAATTGGAGTAAACTAGTGAACAACAATGCTTAGGCCTCTACTTCCAGCTTATACATACTATATACATTTTGTGGACACAGTCAATTTTACAATAATTCTATTTTGTTTGTTTTTACTCATGAACTTCCTCAGCCTCTCCGATCATTTTCATGATGTCCATCCGGTTTGCTTCTATATGCCATTTACATTTTAGTCATTTAGCAGACGCTCTTATCCAGAGCGACTTAGTTAGTGAGTGCATACATTTTCATACTGGCCCCCCGTGGGAAACGAACCCACAACCCTGGTGTTGCAAGCGCCATGCTCTACCAACTGAGCTACAGGGGACTATCTTTCTAACTGTGCTCTTTCACAAAAGCTCTCAACCTATAACCTATATACTTATTATGGACACAGTACGCTTTACATTAGTTATCTTGTTGTTATTAGTTGTTGTTATTAGTGCCATCCTTCAACACCACCCATCTATCTCTTAACACCATCCATATTGGATTTCTATTTGCCATATATTTTTCAACTGCACTGTGATGTTTTACAAAAGTTCTCAACCCTTCTATTCTCATTGTTTCTACAGATTGTAAATTGAAAATAAACATTTTTGCTAAAAGTATTATTATATTATTGATCGATTTGACTGACTTTTCAGATTCTGTCCTCCGTATTTATATTCATTATATAAATAGGCCCGTTTAATTTTGTCTGGCTTGCCGTTCCAAATAAAATGGAATCTTTTTTTCTCATATAATTTAAAAAACCGTTCGCTAGGCGTAGGCAAGACCATAAGCAAATAGGTAAACTGGGATAATACTAAAGAGTTAATCAGGGTGATTTTTCCACAAATTTACAGGTATTTACCTTTCCATGGTAGCAAGATCTTATCTATTTTTGCTAACTTTCTATTAAAATGTATTGGAAAGAGATCATTTATTTCATTTGGGATATGTATTCCGAGTATATCCACATCACCATCAGACCATTTTATTGGTAAACTACATGGTAATGTAATTTTTTTAATTTTTTAGTGATCCAATACGTAATATTGGATTTATCATAATTTGGTTGTAATCCGAAGAGAGGTTAGAAAGTGTATCTAGATCCTCTGAGGCTGTGGAGGGATTTAAGTTTTGGATTTAAAAGAAAACATGAATCATCAGCGTTCAATGACACCTTTGTTTTTAAGCCCTGGATTTCTAATCCCTTGATATTATTGTTGGATCTGATTTTAATAGCTAACATTTCGATGGCCGTAATAAATAGAATGCCGTTAGTGGACAACCTTGTTTCACTCCTCTTGACAGTTTAAAACTTTCGGAGAAATAGCCAAACCTGTCTGATTAGAATTAATAATGTCCGACAATACCTTTTTAATTCTATGCGCTATACATTTTGCTAGAAATTTTGCATCACATCACTGAAGTGTAAGGGGCCTCCAATTTTTTTAATGGACTGGATCTTTATATTTTCCACTTGTATCCTGTTTCAGTAATAATAAATCAGACCTTCTTGAGTGTCTGATAATCTACCATTTACATAGGAGTGGTTAAAACATGCTAATAACCGTCCTCTGAGTATATCAAAAAAGGTTTGGTATACCTCGACTGGTATGCCATCCAACCCTAGAGTTTTCCCGGACTTAAAGTCTTTAATTGCATCCAGAAGTTCCTCCTCTGTAATTTCACCTCCTATGAGTCTTTCTGTATGGCTGTTAATTTTACATTATCAATAGAATAAAAAAATCTCTACAATTAGCTTCAGTTATTGGAGATGGAGGCGACTGAAACGAAAACGTATGCTTAAAGTACTTTGTTTCTTCCTTCAAAATATAATTTGGTGAATCATGGGTGACTCCGTCATTTGTAACCTGTTTCAGTAAATTATTTTTGGTAGCATTTCTATGTTGAAGATTAAAAAAAGAATATGGTGCATTTTTCCCCATATTCCATCCAGTTAGCTTTATTTTTTATAATATATTACACTTGATCTTTCTTGAATAAGTTTCTCCATTTCTTTTTGTGTTTCCTCTAATTTATTCTGATCCTCTATGTTAGTTTTTATTGCTATCTATCTGTTCTGTTAGACCTTCTATTTCCTTTGTATGGGACTCTTTTGACCTAAATTGCTTTTGTTTTCGAGATGAGTACTGAATTGCATGGCCTCTAAAGGCACATTTAAAAGTGTACCATACAATAAGGGGCATTTGCTGTACCTATGTTATGTCGGAAAAAAATCAGTTATAAATTCCTCTGTCCTAGTTAAAAACAAGTTATCATCTTTTATTAAATTTACAATTTCCTCGCCCACTTGAAAATTCAGTAAGAGTAATGTATATGCCAATTATATGATGGTCTGACCGCATTCTGTCCCCTATCAACACTTTTAAAACTTTTGGTGCCAACGAGAATGACATAAGAAAGAAGTCAAGACGACTAGCTTGATTGAGTCTCCGCCATGCATATCTCACTAGATCAGGACATTTAAGCCTCCATATATCTACTAGTTGTAATGTATCCATGACATTCACGATTTCCTTAAGAGCATGAGGGTGATAGTTTGTAGTGTGATTTGCTTTACGGTCCATTGAGCTATTTAAAACGGTATTATAATCTCCCACCATAATAATAGAGTCTTGAATTGCTTGCAGGGTTGATGTTGTTCTTAACTGACTTGCCTAGTTAAATAAAGGTGAAATATATTTTTTTTTTAAACACTTCCAGTCATTGTGCTAAAGCTAGTTAGCATTGGCTCGCAAAACAACCTCTAACTTCCTTCATACAGGATACAGACATAAAAATGGTATCCACAAGTTAATCTGACTCTGGGGAAGCAGTTAAATGCCTCATTGCCAAAATGAAGTATCCCTTTAAGTTGTAAATCACTTATACAAATGTTGAATATCTCTTGAAGAGAAAACAAGGAATGCTCCCCCTCATGAATGGTTCTTTGTGTGATTCTCTCTCCAGTGACATGGAAATGTCAGAGTTCCTGATCGACCCTAATACTGGTCCCTGTCGCTACGATCTCATTGCGGTCTCCAACCACTACGGAGGCATGGGAGGAGGACACTGTAAGTCTGATTTTAAGTCTCCTTATTTGACAATTTAGTCATTAACACTAGAAGCGCAGACGACGTCGTTTGAACGTAATGTGTATTCAAAATTGTACATTCAGACATTGCTAGCCATAGTGTTTTCCGAGTTGATTCAAACAAGGTAGTTGAACCAACAGTCTTAATTCAATGCTTGCTTGTAGCAGACAAATGCTGATCTTCTCATCTTATTTTTGGGACACTTAGATACTGCTTATGCGAAGAACAAGGATGATGGCAAGTGGTACAACTTTGACGACAGCAGTGTCTCTCCAGCCAACGAAGATCAGATAGTGGTGAGTTTCATGGTCCTCTAACATCTTGTCAGATACACAGCACTGCCCAGTGTGAATTGAATGTGCACTTCATATTATACTGTACTGTAAGCCATTAACCTGCATCCTGAATGTGTATGATGTTATAACAATTTGGATATAGCTTTTCAGTTCTCAAGTTTCATTTTGTTATAACTACACTGTATATCAAGTTACTGTGCTGCTGTGTGTAACTGTGTGTGTGTGTTTGTTCAGTCCAAAGCAGCGTACGTGCTGTTCTACCAGCGCCAGGACACAGTGAAAGGAACAGGCTACTTCGATCTGGACCGAGAGGAGGAGGAGAGAGAGGAGGTGGAGGAGAACGGAGAAGGGAAGGAGGAGAGGAAGAGCGTCGCCTCAACCCAGCGGGCCTCTGCTTCAGTCCAGAGTGACAAAGAGGATGTCAATGACAATAAGAATGAGAAAAAGCAGGAGGAGCAGGAGCCTAGCTGTGACGTCACCATGAAAACCAACTGAGCTGGAGAAACGGAGACAGGAATATCCATCCAAAGCCATATCGACAGACAGAGCAGTGGGCCAGCCCTGAGGCTGCGCTCTGACCCCATCCAGCCCTACAAAGAGTGGGCTACCAGGGGAAACTGTCCACTGAGAAGTTAGTCAGTGCTGGAACACCCAAGCAACATTACTAAAGCAATCAGGGCCTATAGATGTCTGTGGTCTGACCGACCGGTCTTATCCAGGTCGCAGTGAGTCTCCTCCATGTCCATTCTACATGAATCATCCACTCTGGAGGAAAAAAAATGTAAAGCTCTGTTCTGATTTTGAACAATGACATCATACTGAAATCAAATAGATCCATTAGAAGCTTTAGGAAGGCCTGCATTACGGAGTTCAGTTCATCATAGTATAAAACACAGAATGTCACAGTGCAGTGGTGTCGCTGCTTCGAACTGATACTCCCTCCCTCCCACCCACCTGCTTATCTTTTGTTTCAAAAAAATATTTTTGAGAGAGCAATGCATTGCCATACCATTTTACCATTATTATTAAGCAAGGCCTGAAGACTGAATTATTATTAGGTTTTCATGATGCTCTGAAGCTTTTTTGGGAATTCGTCCTAATACTTTCATTTTGTTACACAATCACCTCCACCCCATTTTTTTTTTTTATGAATCGTATATTAGTGCCACGTACTGAAATTGTTTTACAAATTACTCTGAGCCAGGGTCGTTAAAACGCTTTGAACGCTGCCTTTAAACACTGTGCTCAACAGAACACGCATCCACACATATTGGCTCCGTGTAGAGTAGGAGTGCTGATCTAGGATCATTTTTGCATTTAGGAGCATAATGAATAAGGTTATATGGACAGGGGGGACCTGATCCTAGATCAGCCCTCCTGCTCTGCTTTGTGTATGTGAGGAGGAAGACCAACATACATTTTATAATGTAAAACAGCCAAACCAGTCATGTGGTAGGCTTGCATTTTAGACAAATAACTAATGTATACAATATGAGCCTTATGATTAAGTTCTGTTGTTTTTTTTCTTCTGCTGGTCCCTACAGTAAGTATCATCCTAGCCACATGAAGCCAAGGTCAAGGTCCAGAAACAACCCCTAAACCCCTAGACACTTTTGTAGATCTGAAATGATCAGATAGGTATGAGAAATGGGGGGCGAAGAATTCACCTTACCTTTCACATGAGGTGGAGGTGGAGCTACTAGCATATTGCTCACACCCAATTCTTTCAGATCTGCATGAGTGATTAGGAGACATGTTTGTTTAGGAGGTAGGGGCTTTTCTGGAACGGACCCACCTCTCTCTCAGGCTGTATGTTGCATTGCTAGCTTTACATGGCTTTTTTAGGCTCTCCTCCACTACCTGCTCCTTCTAGAGGCTTTTTTGAGATTATGAATATTGGTGATACATTAGATTTTTGTCTCTTGGTTGGATCACCTCAGCCTTAACTCTTAATCTCAGATTGTAGCCTTTTCTTTGCACATTATTACGTCACGCTGTCTGTGCATGGCCCTCAAACACACACACACTTGAACAGGACACAGATACGAGCTGAAACTCATTCATACACTCACAGGAAAACTTTGTACACACCCTCACACCTTATCTTTGCTGTCCCCATCAGAAACATCCATGAATAGCAACCGCTGCTACCGGAAATTAACCAATTTTTGAAAAAAAAAGTCAATGAGGGGCGGAGTGTATGCTGAATGACTATTGAACTGATCCACTTGTAAGGCCAGGTAGTTTTTTTGCTTCTTCTTTTCTTGCTTTGGTTTAATGTGAGGGGGAAATAGTAGGGGGTTCATTGCCTTTGATAGGAATACCTGGGTACTGCTGTATGTGTCCTCTCTTCCAAGGGAAAATAATGCTTCATTGTGGTTGGAGCATGGAGTAGGGTCTTTCTCTGGAGAGGGCGGGAGGGATGGGTGGGATTACTGATCAGCCTGAGTGGGTGAGATGTGGTGATTTACATATAGGCTATATAATACTGTACATAAGAGTTCACTCTGTGAGTGTACATTTGATAACATTTATTTATTTATATGTAAGCGTTTAATAATAAAAAATATATATATTTAAAGACATTGGCAAGACCGAAGATATAATGGGGATTTGGCTTTATAGTCCACTAGTTCAGGGTTGAGTCTGAAATGGCCCCCTATACTGCATAGAGCTCCAGTCAAAAGTAGTGCCCTATATAGGCCATATTGAACACACCCAGAATTCTTACCTGTGCTCTTCTCTTCTGGGGGATTGGATCTTTTTTAAAGGATGTTCTATTGGTCAGACTTTTTTTTTGTAAAGGTGAATACATTCAGGCATCCTTTGCATGACATGGGGGTTTCCAGGTTTGGCTGCGCTTGAGTTCACTTGGGTTTACATTTGAAATGTGCATGTGTATTTATACACACACTTCAATAAAGTTGTGTAAAGCCTAGTACTCTTTTTTTTTTGTAAACTATTGGAAATTACCAAATGCATAAGGTTGTGTAGGCTATAGATGTAACTCGATTGATAATGACTGCTTGGGTATTCGTGCCCTCTGGAGGTAAATGTATAACACGGGAGCATTCCTGGCTCAACAGAGAAGTTGGAAATAGATGCCCTCTTGTGGTTGAAGCTGGACCATGACTGGATATGATGTTCTATTCATACTATACTAAAACATATTTTGTCTGAGATTCTTAAGTGTTGAAGCTCCGAACAAACAAGCACAACCATGGATGACCATTTGTCTGACTTGCTTATTTATTACAGACTTCTTCAGGATTGGTCTGGTGCATTTTAGAATTTCACCCAATATCGCAATGGCCAACATTTTGCGCATGAATTGAAATACTCCCTTTCCCACAACCCAATACGAATGGAGCTGGTGCGCGGTGCTTTACGCCCAGTCTGACGTTTCCCGCGAATTTTATCCACAGTTGATTGCATACTCCTTCAGTTTCCACACGGATCGCGGGAAGGAGCTGGAACATACTTGTAGACTATGCGGCAACGTGCGCGTGGCTGTGCTAGACTGAATTGCGCGTGTATTTTTCTTAAAAGCTCTACAGCGCATATCATTGTTCTGCTTTATTTTTTCTTGATAGAGGAGATGGGGAGATGGTTGGCTGCTACCTGCACCGACAAATACGGTGTGCGCACAAGACAATATTGCATTGCTGGACTGGATCAACCAATCACAATTATAAGGTGGTTTTGTGTGCATGCCATTTAACTGTTCTTAATTATTGGATTGTGATATAGCTTTGTTGTAAACTATTAGGCTATAACGGCATTCAATATTATCCCTGTATTAATTCCTATGATATGTGATATGTCGCATCTTTCATTCGGGACCCCAGGTAGGTTGATGCGGTTGAAAACGGCACGTGGATGTTCAGTAGCCTATCCAATCAATCGTCGATAATGAAATATTTCTCTTTGGATAAAAAAATTAAGAAACCACTGCCGTTAATACACAGTCAAACGCTCTGTATCCTAGGTCAAACGAGAACTTGGCCGAGACATGATGCAATGTCCAGCCAGGTCATTTTAGGGGAAGGGCAGTGAAATCAGGAGACTGGGTCGGTCGGGGACTTGGGTGGGGTTTCAACTGCATTTTACGCATGGGACGTGCTTAACGACACATGGAACTTCGCCATCATGGAACCGTTCATTCATATGGTCATTCTGAACCGTTTGGACAGGAGGCAGACATACGGATGACACCACTGGTTCGTTCCTTTCCACTGTGCTCCGGCTGAGGTAGTAGTTTGTGCTGTTGGTCGGGTTGTGACATGGCCCGCTGTGGAGATAACTGCGCAAGCTACTGCCTTGCCGGCGCTGGTGATATGCACATCAAGAAACCTGTATTATTATTTTTCTAAAGCAAAAACATGTTAGGATGCTGTTGTAACTTCATTACCATTCAATTAGGCCTATGTGCTAATTTGTAGGCATATTCATGACAGAAGCGTTAGCCTATAGATGGGTACATTATATATATACAAAAGTATGTGGACACCCCCTTCAAATTAGTGGACTGTTATTTCAGCCACACCCGTTGCTGACATGTGTATACAATCGGACACACAGCCATGCAATCTCCATAGACAAACATTGACAGTAGAATGTCCTTACTGAAGAGCTCGGTGACTTTCAACATGGCACCGTCATAGGATGCCACCTTTCCAACAAGTCAGTAAGTCAAATGTCTGCCCTGCTAGAGCTGCCCAGGTCAACTGTAAGTGCTGATATTGTGAAGTGGAAACGTCTAGGAGCAACAACGGCTCAGCCGCGTAGTGGTAGGCCACCCAAGCTCACAGAACGGGACCGCCGAGTGCTGAAGCGCGTAAAAATCGTCTGTCCTCGGTTGCAACACTCACGACCAGAGGTGTAGTCCAGGGTATACGCTGGTATACGGCGTATACCTACTTATTTTTCAGTCAGCATTGCGTATACCCACTTCTAAATCCCCCCTGATGCGCATCATTCAGTAATATCTGTGAGTCAGATTGCCTATTTTCTTCCTCGGGGATAGTGAAGCCATGACCCACCCTCCTCTGCCTCTAATTGGCTGGTACTCGCTGCTTTCACTGATTAGATTGGTTAACTTTAGGCATGAGGACTGATGAGCCAATCAGAGGCAGAGTAGGGCGGGTCATGCCGAGGAAAATATCGCTAATACCTCAGGTGCCAGTGAAAAAAAAAAAAAAAAAAACTCAGGTGCCGGTGCCACTTGACTACGATAACGGCAGCAGACCAAACAACGGATGAAGAAAGGACACAAGCGGCGGTGTGCCACCCCAGTTGATGGAAGACATCATTCTGAGGTAAGTTTTAAGGTGGTTTCCAAATGAATCATTATTTTAAACTACTGGCAAATTGCCAGTGACTGCACATTTAGAGGAGAAGAGATGTTGCCGCCAATAGTTAGTGCGAGTCGGCTAACGTTATGAAGCTAGCTACGTAGATTGGGATAATGTGGGGAAACCGGGGCATTGTTGGTTTTCAGTAAGTGTTTAATCAACCCAGTTCATAAGAATTTCATACCAGACTGATGAAACTGATTATCTCAATGTTTATGAAGCTTGTTTATTATTGTAAAGGTCTAAATTATAACGTTAGCCAAGTTACTAAGCCCTAAATTATAACATTAGCCAAGTTACTTAGCCCTAACTAACCTATATGATCTAGTTTAATTGCATAGTAGCTAAGCTGGTAGTTGATTTTTAAGTAAGTTAAAACACAAGAATGGGGACAAATAGTTTAAGATTCAGCCTAAAACAATATTGAGGTCTAATCAGGCTGTCTTATTTTGTATAGGGACAGGTAACCATGAAAAGGAAGGGAGATATTGCAGACTTTTTTGTAAAGAGGCACAAATCAGGCCCAGATCAGGCCCAGGCAGACCCCACCCCTAAAACCAGCAGCCCTGGCAGCTCTCAACCGGGAGCTAGCCAGGCAAGTCAGTGTGAGCATAGAGAAGGATCCAGTCTACCACCACCAGGTCAGAACACACAGGCAGTAAATTGCATCTCCAGTTTATTGAAAAGTGAAGCCTCACACTGTAACAAAAGGTGATTTTGACAGATTAAGCCTCATTTTGAATTTCTGTGTGATGTTATTTATTTTATTGCCCTTCTATTTATTTTGTCTGTATCCATGTTTGTTTTTTACAATGCTACTGTTATATAACATTTTGTACATTTTGTGTTAAATTTGTTGTTTTTTTGTTAAATAAACTCTCCCAAGTATTTCACTCACTAATCTCCTGTATGCTTCAGCTTCACTTGCTGAAAATATTTCCACTTGGTTATGCAGATTGTTAATGTAAAGAGGGGGACCCATGTCTTGCTGATGACTATTGTGATCACAGTAGTGTGTGTGTGTGTGTGTGTGTGTAAGTGTGTGAGAGAGAGAGAGACAGGGAGATGCATAATTAGTTTTGTTGTTGTCTGTAGACATCAATAATGACTGGCCAGACCTGTGGAGTGCTAAACAAACAGAAGACTTCAAATCCAAGAACCCCTGGTTGGGATCCAAAAACAAAAAATTGGGTAAGTTTAGGTAGATTGCTAGTTTGGGTAACTTCTGAAACAGTGGGCACAGATAACTTTGTGTGTGTGTGTGTGTGTGTGTGTGTGTGTGTGTGTGTAAAGGACCATGCACACGTACAGCTGTGGATACAGGAGTAGTTACATTGTTTGTTTATGCTTCGCAGGATGTCTGGTCTGTAGCAGTGTGAACTCCATTGGGATCGACAAGGAGCAAGGTGTATCGCTCTCAAGAGAATGGATGAACTTTGAAATTCAAGTGTCTGGCCAGGGAAGTAGAACAACAAGTTTGTCAATCTTGAGAAATAAGGTGAGGAAACATGCGTTGTCCAAGGCCCACACTCAGGCTGTGAAGGTGGCAGAGCAACAGAAAGAAGCTGCCATTGAGAATGCAGTGGAGACTATGACTGAGTCCTACATGAAGGAAACTGAAGCTGTGTTTCGAACAGCCTACCATCTGGCCAAAAAGAACCGACCCTTTTCTGACCATGAGAGCCTCATTGAGCTGCAGGAACTGAATGGTGTAAAAATGGGCTCAATACTTCATTCACGTTACAGTGCAACACAAATAATACAACATGTTGCTAGTGAGATGCAGAGCAAAATCATCAGTAGCATTATAGCATCATCCAGTAAGTTAGCTGTCCTAATTGACGAGGCATCTTCTTTAAGTCACAAAGCTGTCATGACAGTTTCTATTAAAGCATCAATTCAAGAAGAAAGCCCTGAGTTCATATTCCTGGAACTTGTTGAACTGGAAAATCAGAGAGCAGATGGCATATTACAGGCGTTACTCACCTGTTTAACTAATGCTGGCTTTACAGAAGAGTGGCTTCATGAAAACTGGGTAACATTTGTATCTGATGGAGCCAGTGTCATGCTAGGAAAGAAGTCAGGAGTAGCAACCAGACTGACTTTGAGATTCCCAAAGCTTTTTGTATGGCACTGCATGAACCATAGACTTGAACTTGCTGTGTCAGATGCAGTTGATGAGGTAAACTCTGTCAATCACTTTAAAACTTTTATCCAGAAGCTATACTCTCTGTATAGTGTGTCAAACAAAAATGAACGTGAACTTGTTAATGCAGCAGCTGAAGTAGGCTCACAACTTCTTCGCATTGGCAGAATCTTGGATGTACGCTGGGTGGCCAGTAGCTTTCGGACTGTTCGTGCTGTTTGGACATCCCTGGGAGCTCTTGTGCAGCACTTTAAAAATGCTTGCAGTGATGAGATGAGGTCCACCAAAGAGAGGCAGATGTACAGAGGTTTGTTAGACCGTGTTCAAAGTCCAGAATTCATTTGTGACCTTGGCCTCATGTACGACACTCTCCATGAACTAAGTCTCCTGTCACAGGAGCTTCAGTCTCGTTCTATAACGCTCCTCGGAGCAGAGCATCTGCTGAAACGCTCAATCAGAGTGATCCAGTCATTCAAAGAGAGTCCAGGTGAGAAATATAGTGAGGCTTTAGAAGCAAAACAGACTGGGGAGTATCGGTCTATAGCCCTGAAAACAAATGCAAAGCTGAAGTCTATCAATCCAGGCCAGTTCTTACAAAGCCTTGTGAACAATCTGGAGAAACGCTTGTCTTTTGAAGATGAGACCATCATGGACCTCAGCATCCTTGATCAGAGTAAGTGGCCATCAAAGCCCAGCATCCGCCATGGTGAAGAACAAGTTAAGCGACTGTGCAAGCGATTTAACTTGTGCACAGACCAAGCACTGAATGGGATGCGGGACCTACTGGAAGAGCCCAGTAGTGAGCCCAAGGACCTAAAACCACTTATGAACTGTATGAAAACATTCCCTGTCGGTACAGCAGAGTGTGAGAGGAATTTTAGCCTTATGAACAATATAAGCTCAGACAAGAGGGCTGTCCTTCTGATCTCAAACATATCAAACTTGATGATGATTAATATCAACGGCCCACCAACTTCCAAGTTTGATCCTAGAAAATATACAAGGACCTGGTTGAAGAGCCATCGTGCTGCCTCTTCGGTGCGTTCTAGACAGTGCAGTGTGAAAGCTCCTGCAGAAAGCAAATTTGTCTGGAATATACTGTAGTATGAGCAAAGGTCAGAAACCCAGTGCTGGGTTGAGAGAGTATATCACTGTTGATGTGTTGTTAATGCATATATTTTTGTTAATTGTTAACTAAATATTGTTGTAACATATTTTGTTGAATGATTTACCGGTAAATGAACATGTTCAAAACAAAGCATATAGCAATATGAACAAGGATGCATTGTCACCTTCAGATTTGAAGTATTTTATTTAAATAAATGTGCAAAAAATAATCGAAACACCATTTCCTGTTTGCCTCATGATAAATACATTTTACATTCATCCAGGCTGCTCTTGTGACCAGTAGTAACTACAAACTGCTCCTAATCAAGTCATGATCATTTTATAATAGTGTGCAAGTAGAAATTACATATTTTTGGGTAAACTAAATCATAGTCTTACATGTCACTGTTTCTAAAACAGGGCTTTTTTCTGGACTACTTAAAAAAAAAAAAGGTGAATACTGAGAGTATACCCACTTCTCCAGGGACCACTACACCACTGCTCACGACCGAATTCCAAACTGCCTCTGGAAGCAATTTCAGCGCAAGAACTGTTCACCGGGAGCTTCATGAAATGGGTTTCCATGGGCGAGCAGCCGCACACAAGCCTAAGATCACCATGCTCAATGCCAACTGTCTATGGAATAGCCTCCCCTTGGAGATCAAGCAAAGAAAAAGTAGAAGTAGCTTTAAAAAACTGGTTTTCAAAATGTATGCCCCCTACTACTGGTCAGGTGTATTTATTTGAATGATAGGTATGATGTGCAATGAATATATTGTTTTTTAAGGTCGAAATGTGAAATTAATATGGTTGAATTTTAAGGTTAGTCCAGTGAATAGTGCCACTTTCAAGGATGTCAATTTAAATTAATGTATTTATGGTTGTTTGTAATTTTGTCTTTTGATCATTATATGTGTTACTGTTTTTACCATCGAGGACCACTTTGGAAGCGTTTTAATTCATACTTTTAAGAGATATCCTCTGGGTCCACATTGTACCTTTGGTTGTATATGTCTGTTACCCAAAATCAATTCAATTCAATCGAACACCCTTGGGATGAATTGGAACGCCGACTGTGAGCCAGGCCTAATCGCCCAACATCAGTGCCCAACCTCACTAATGCTCTTGTGGCTGAATTGAAGCAAGTCCCTGCAGCAACGTTTCAACATCTAGTGGAAAGCCTTCCTAGAAGAGTGGAGGCTGTTATAGCAGCAAAGGGGGGACAAACTCCATATTAATGCCCGTGATTTTGGAATGTTCAATGAGCAGGTATCCACATACATTTGGTCATGTATCATCATCATCATCATCACCACCACCAACTTGAGCACTTGTTTTTTTGTTCCATTCTAAATAAAGTACAAATAATAAAATATGAAAACTTGCAGTTAATTGTATATTTATATTACTCTTCATTACATCATGTATAAAGATTAAAAGAGCCATTTTCTTTTGAGCTAATTAGCAACTTTGCAACTACTAAACCTTCCCCTAACCTTAACCCTTTAACCTAACTCCTAACCTTAATCCCTAGCCTAGCTAACGGTATTCGTAACATATCATATATTTTGCTAATTCGTAACATATTGTACGACTTGCAATTTGTAACATTTCATACTAATTGTAATTCATAACATATGAAATGGATGATGGACATCCACAAATGAATACATACCATACGAAACCAAACATATCTAATTGGAGTGTTCAGGATTTACGTTTAATATATTACATCTACCCCTGAGTCCAGGTTGCAGTGCAAGCATGTGACCTTGACATGAAACCCACTCCTGGTAGTGGAATAGTAGTGTACTGAGGGATATGAAAGGGAAGGAGAGGAATGGAGATAATCAGACCGAGAATATGGGGGGAACAGGTAAGACACACACACTAAGGTACACAGTGTTTTCATATTCCAAATAGAGTAAGTAGGGGTCTCCAGTCTTTCTTGCCAAAATCAAAACCAAATCAAATGCATCTAAATGCATTTAAAGTAATACATATGACAAAGAAAACAGATACTGTCTGTTTTAGGTCATATACCTGACATAACAAAATCATTTTTGCAGTTTTGCTGCAGCAATCACTTGCATTCAACCATCATCAGGACTGAAGCCCTTCTCTCCATGTCCAAACCCCTCTGACAATTACCTGTTGGAGCACTATTGACTTGGTATATTGATTTTCCTCTCCCCAAGAAGCAGTGGGAATGCAAAGAGCACTGGCATCGATTCGTTTTTGTGCCTCAGTGCCATTTTAATGCCACTTCAGATTGATTGGCCTAGTGATTTGGACTGAAACAATGTTTTCTGGAACTATTGATTTCTGTCCAGGGCTGCTAACAGTTTCAGGTCCCAATAGAAGTCCTCTAATAATGTAAGATACAAGACGCACATTTTGGGTTCAAATGTTCACATACAATCAATTAATTGTTTTTATTCTCTGAAAAAAACACTGAAGGTAAAATATTTTCCCAAAGTCATCATCATTTCACATAAATACATACCATAAACATTTACAAATATTATTTGACTTTATAATTTACCTCTAGTTTACAAAATAAAGTAAAGGGGTAGAAGGAGGGTAGAATAAATGAGATCAGTCAAAATTGTCATCAAAATTGGTAGCTATAAGTGTTTAGAGTTTCACCACTCTCCTTAATTTGTTCCTTGTACATAAAAATACACAGAAATACATTCTTCAATCTTCCCATCACCAGGGAATGGCCTCAATTTTAATCCCTTTCAGTATCAGTCACATGGATGAGTGTGGGTTTGAGAGATGATTTGGAACAAAACAACAGCAATTGGTAGGCTACTAATATATACAGCAACAGGAGAGGCAAATATAGCCTGGTACCAGCCCAGTTTGTGCTTTATAACCAACTCCACTGCCGTGTAAGCAACATTTTATGGCATACAATGACTGGCAGAAGAGTTGGATAAAGAACATACGAATCTGCTACCAGGCTAGGATAAATATATCTCCTGATCCAGAGTAATAATGTCAAAATGCACTTTTCATTTGATACCGTCTGTGTTTTACTCTATTGTTCAACTCTAGCAAATGTACACATTTATAACAAACAAATGCTTCATATCAAAGGGTCCACTGCCTTCAGCAGTGTATTAATTCCAGTACAACTATTATTTTTTCCTTCCAAACTACCAAAAACTTGAGTTGACCTCCATGCGCAGGTGGCACAGTTAATCATGTATAAATAAATTACATTTTAGTAATTTAGCAGACGCTCTTATCCAGAGCGACTTACAGTTAGTGAGTGCATACATTTTCATACTGGTCCCCTGTGGGAATCGAACCCACAACCCTTCATTCTTTCTTCACATTAATCTAGTAGGAAAGGCTAAACACATTAACTATGCATTCATACCACATAGTTAAGTATGAACAATCCATACATGTGTTACAACTTAAGTTATATTATACAGTACATGTTAATCAGTGTTTCTGGACACTTTGGGATCATAAATACAATACTGCATATCCCACTTTACAAGTGCGATCACTTTCTTTGAAACCCCCATTCTTAGAAATACCCCCCCCCAAAAACATACAAAAAGAAAAATACGTAAAAAACACAAAAACATACTAAACATGATTTAAGGTCCTGAACAATAATTCTTATTACCATGTAAAATAGCCTTTTGAGTGACTAAAACATCACCCACAATATTTCTTTCCCAATAACAATGCTCAATATCTGAGTAAAAGTACTTTTTCTCTCATGTCAAACAACTAGGAAGTCTGAAAAGACACACTGAGTGGGCGGGGAGCTAATTGGCTGAGTGGGCGGGGAGCTCACCTTGATAGATCGTTTTTGGAAAAGCAACACATGGTTTCACAAATTATTTGTTTATCCTGTTTGGTTATTGTAACAGCATCAATATAGACAAATGTTGGCTATATAAGTTAGCTAGCTAGCAAGTTCATCTTGGACAATTTTAGTTGAAACTTTAAAGGGTGAGGTCTGGGTACATTACATACAGTTGAAGTTGGAAGTTTACATACACCTTAGTCAAATACATTTAAACTCAGTTTTTCACAATTCCTGACATTTAATCCTAGTAAAAATGCCCTGTCTTAGGTCAGTTAGGATCACCACTTTATTTTAAGAATGTGACATTTCAGAATGATAGTAGAGAGAATTATTTATTTAAGCTTTTGTTTCTTTCATCACATTCCCAGTGGGACAGAAGTTTACATACACTCAATTAGTATTTGGTAGCATTGCCTATAAATTGTTTCACTTGGGTCAAACGTTTCAGGTAGCCTTCCACAAGCTTCCCACAATACATTTGGTGAATTTTGGCCCATTCCTCCTGACAGAGCTCAGGTTTGAGTCAGGTTTGTAGGCCTCCTTGCTCGCACACACTTTTTCAGTTCTGCCCACACATTTTCTATAGGATTGAGGTCAGGGCTTTGTGATGGCCACTCCAATACCTTGACTTTGTTGTCCTTAAGCCATTTTGCCACAACTTTGGAAGTATGCTTGCGGTCATTGTCCATTTGGAAGACCCAGTTGCGACCAAGCTTTAACATCCTGACTGATGTCTTGAGATGTTGCTTCAATATATCCACATAATTTTCCTTCCTCATGATGTCATCTATTTTGTGAAGTGCACCGGACTCCTGCAGCAAAGCACCCCCACAGCATGATGCTGCCACCCCCGTGCTTCACGGTTGGAATGGTGTTCTTCGGCTTGCAAGCATCCACCTTTTTCCTCCAAACATAACGATGGTCATTATGGCCAAACAGTTCTATTTTTGTTTCATCAGACCAGAGGACATTTCTCCAAAAAGTACAATCTTTGTCCCCATGTGCAGTTGCAGACCGTAGTCGGGCTTTTTTATGGCGGTTTTGGAGCAGTGGCTTCTTCCTTGCTGAGCGGCCTTTCAGGTTATGTCGATATAGGACTCGTTTTACTGTGGATATAGATACTTTTCTACCTGTTTCCTCTAGCATTTTCACAAGGTCC